GGCGAAGAATAAGCCACTTTCGAATTGCCACCCGCGATCAGTTGTTATGGAAGATGGGCATCCAAAGTTAGCGATCCATCTTTCTACAAAGACGCGTGCGACTGTTTCAGCAGATATGTTCTTGATGGGTACTGCTTCCGGCCATCGTGTGAATCGATCGATGCAAGTTAAAATGTAGGTATATCCATGGGATTCAGGAAGGGGTCCAACCAAATCTATATGGACGTGTTCAAAACGAGCGTCAGGGAGAAGAAAGGTGCCAAGTGGGCTTTTGGTGTGTCTTATTACCTTGCACTTTTGACAAGCTAAGCACGTGTATGCCCATTCCCTTACTTCTTTATTAATGCCAGGCCAACAAAACCGACTAGTTACGAGCTTGACAGTAGTTCGAATACCTGGGTGAGATAAGCTATGCAACGTATTGAAGACGTTATGGCGATAACTTTTAGGCACGATGGGGCGAGGAGTACTCGCCAAAATGTTACATAGAATAGTATCTCTTCCCATACCTAAGGGTTTCTCAGCTAATTGTAGAGTTGTTTTCGACAACTCATGTTGAAGTTCGGTATCTCCTTTTTGAAGACGAGAGAGTTTTACAAGCTCTATGCCGTCGATTTGGATGAGGGAACAAACGCGCGACAAGGCATCTGCCACAGTGTTGCTTTCTCCGGATACATGGCGAATATCTGATGTAAACTGTGAAACGTAATCCAGTTGCCGTGATTCCCTGGGTGAATACTTATCTGAAGATGAGTTCAGAGAGTACGTCAGTAAAAATTATGAATTCATGACCCTCTACTGAATGTCAAAAATGACGTATAGCACAGTACATAGCTAGAAGTTCTCTGCCAACTGTGCTGTACTTCGTTTCAGCCAACTGAAGGCGCCTGGAGAAAAAGGCAAGTGGTTGCCACTGTTTGTCAACTAGCTGTTGTAGAACTGCGCCGATTGCAGTGTTTGATGCATCAACCGAGATACTTAACGGTGCCATTGGGTCCTGATACATCAGAAGTGTGGCATATGCAATAGCTTTTTTAACATGGGTAAAAGCATTTCGAGCAGACGCGTCAAGTTCTATGGACTTGTTATTCCTTCGAAGAAGGTTTGTCAATGGCTGAATCAGAGAGGCACAGCTGGGAATAAAGCGTCAATAATAACTTACCAAGCGGTTGAAAGTGTGGAGACTTTTCACTGTTCATGGCTCTGGGAAGTTCACTATAGCCTCGACTTTAGTAGCCAGTGGGTGAATGCCCTTGCAATCAATAGTGTGTCTTTTAGCGTTTTCATATCAATGACCGAAAAGTACATAACCATTGAAAACTGCTTGAAGGTTAGTGCAACTTCAATATCTGATAATTACTGCAGTTACACAGACTTCTTCCAATGAATTAGTTCGGAGATTGTTAATACTGATACCTAAGAAGTTGTGGGGAATTCATCAGTTAACCTTTCTAAGTTACTTTCATATCAAGTAAAGAGCCAATCACACTAAATTTACAAAGCGACAGTAGTAGTACCAGTGATAATATTCACAAATAAATTAAACGACCATTTACCTCATCAGCAAAGTCTTCAGAGATACAAGTCTAAAAACAAACATTAATTTTTAGTGCAGATTATGTTGCCTCTCTTCGCTATCCAAAATGCTACATTCATTGAGGAATTTAAATAATACTCTGACTGGCTTATTAATACAGAAAAATTTAACTGAATTCATAGGTACTTTGTACTTCAAAAAACACTAGTGAATGCAACTGACAAGAGACAAACATTCTCCCTCTGTACGTTTAATACAACAACTTCTGCAGCAGCTAATGAATTCTACTGAAAATAAATATATATCCCATAGCTTAGGGTGGAAAATAAAACTTCAAACCTTAATAATGTCACTTTCGCTTATAATAAAAACAGAGAAGAAAAATTTTAAAGACCACCGGTTTTAGTTCAACTGAATGTAGATCTATTGGTGATTATCAAAGCTAAACACTTGCAGCTGATGGATACAGCTACCAAAAACTACTAAAGCATTATCCAGGGACTATTAAAAAGTAACCAAAGTGAATATTTATATTTTTGAAAATCAGTAGATTTTTTTCTGTAATACGAAGTGAAGTAATCATAATTTCGAGTATTAAAATAAATGACCTAGTTAAATGAAGCATATTTACTTATTGTTTAATTTCATTAGGTCAGTTAGCTGTGGTATAATTGTAGTCAAAACAACTTTAACTAAGAATCACTCACGATACTGTACATAAAATCACACGATATGTACACTATACATCATGGAATAGAGAATACATAAACATGAACATTTCAATCAATAGTAGAGCTTTTCAACATGTATACGTTTCAATGTAGATATTTCAATAAAGTGATTACAGTTGTACGAAAAAAATGTTCATATATGCATTGGCCGTTTAATCTTTATAAATGCACAGATTTGCAAGGTGACTTAACTGTGTATTTAGTGAGGAATCCGACTGAGAGATGCCGTCATATTATGAAGTGATATTAATTAAGAAACCAGGACTAGAGAAGTTTTCTTATAGCGAACAGACAACGACCTCCAAATTAAGCGGAAAAAATACACACATCTAAAGAACAAAACCATCAGTTCATACAATATGGAAATAAGCATAATTTCTTTTGACACAGCGAATATCATATAATGTCTTTGATTTCGAGAAGAAGTATTCCGAGGCTAAGTCTCTCTGAACATAACAGTTTTTTTTTTTACAGAATTTCATCGCCAGCTGACATCGGTTAGGAAACTACTGAAAACATGGAAGTGCTTGACAAGTGTTTCCAACGTCCCTCGTCGGTACGCACTCACCGGGGTTCGAACTCAGGATTTTCCACTTACAAAGCGAGCTTGTAGACCATTAAGCCACTGTCGCCCGATCCAATGGCTAGCCTATGAATTCTAACTTCTGCCAATTCACGAAATAGCGCGACTACCAGACAATGTTATCGGCGAGTATCTGTCCTGACGTCCGACCAGCTGTACCTCAATGATCACGACTGCCTACTAGAATCCAGGTAACTATCTACCTGAATAGGGCCAGTCACTAGTGAGCTTCAATGGCTTAATGGTTTACGAGCTCACTTCGTAGCCGGAAAGTCCTGAGTTTGAACTTTGGTGGGTGCGTGCTGATGGAGAGTCCCAAACTAGTGGGACGAAACAGCTGTCCATTACTCCTAAGTTTTTCACTAGTTCTCTAACCGATTTCAGCTCACAGTGAAATCCTGTAACCAGTTAAAGCAAATCCCTGCAAACCAACACTTGAACATCACAGTTTGTGCAGAACCTCCGGACAGATTCCAAAAATAAAACTTTTATTTTCGTCAGTCAATAAAAAGCAATCTGACTCCAGATTGACTTCAAGAACCGTGTGCATACAACAAAGCTACTGGATCATACCTGCCTCGCTTACGCCTATAAGATCTATTTCACTAGAAACTACGTCGTTAGGTATGGAACGGATTGTCTTTACCATATTCTTGAAATATCGTCAGTGCTGTCGACTTTGTGACTTAAGCTAAACACTCACTTCTTTTAAAACACCGGCTCAAAAATTATGTGCTTCTGTGTTAACCAAAGTATATTAAACTCCTTTTTGATGGGAATAGTCACTTACTTCAAGAAATGGGATAGAATGTCCGATGAAAGTAAACTGATGGTCGTAAGGTTGAGTAAACTGGAAGATTTCATATTTTGGAATTTTATTCGCTCTTTTCTGGTTTACAAAACTTGAACTTAACACTTTTTCCCATAAGCAATGGAACTGAGCGTTAGCTGACAGCAATTTATTACACCGAAAACTACAGGGTCGTAGTTTGGTTGCATTTTTAAGCAGAGACGGAGATTTAAATATTGTATTCGTAAAGTAATAATCGATTTCAAAGAGTAGCACTACTAGAGGATCCATCATCTGTTTGGTACTAGTTTAAGACTCGTCAAAAACAGGGGTCTACCCCAGAAGCTTCAGAATATAAGACTAGTACATTCACAAGGATTCGCTGGGTTGGAAACTGATGGCCGAAGAGTTATGATTTCTATCTGTCAGCAATATTTGGTTTGGTGGACTCCACTGACCACAATTTTTCCTTAGAAACACAAGAACGCTATCGAAAGATAAGCCATTAATGGGTAGCATACTAGCTTTCTGACCATTGATAATTTGCACTTTATGTGGATGTCTCCAGTGTTATATGTCCAGTGACGTGGGACATTTAACTGTGAAGCTTTCATTGTTTTCTAGATAAAACCTTCATCAGTGACTTCAAAATAAACTGAGTTTCCGAAATACTCCATGCACGAAATTCCTGGGCTTCCGACTGTCCTTAGCTGTCTCTGTGTCTGTTTGTATGGATGTTGATTGTCTCAGTGAGCTGATATTTGGTCTCTTGATCGTTTGACTGATTCTTTATTGATTGATGAATCTAACTGATGTCTGTTAATAGCGAATTGATCTAACCACTAGGCTTCTAGCAATTCCATAGCATTCTCCGTGTTTGCTCTATTAAAGATTTTCATACCTCCTAGCGGAATCTACTTCCATAACTGTTCACGTGTGTTGACTCACATGATGAGATGTATGTCGTACCTTCTGAAAGCTAGTTTATTCTCACTCTCACTTTAGTTAATATGTGATATTTTGTTATATGTCGTGAACTGGCAGAAGTTAGAATTCAAGGACCATTGAATCGGGTCCCAGTGGCTCAATGGTCTACGAGCTCGCCTTGTAACCAGAAGGTCCTGGGTTCGAATCCCGGTGGGTGCGTACTGCTGAGGAGTCCCAAACTAGGACGAAACGGCTGTCCAGTACTCCCAGGTTTTCCAGTGGTTCTCTAACTGATGTCAGCTCATGATTAAATCCTCCATGCAATCTTATTGGATTTGTTTGTTTGATATTGGATCTTTTGGCTTGCACAACATGAAGTACAAAGGTTGTAATAGTTTGTATATGAAATCTGTATCATACGATTTCAATAGTCTAGAAGTCATTTTACATTGTTCCTTGTACGAGGGTTTAATTAACTCCTAAGTTTCTGCATCTTAAGTTCACTAGAGAGTGTTAATGAAGGGATTCAAACAATGAAAAAATGATCTTCCAGTTATTCTTGGTTATAAATGCTTTTTAAAATGTGAATAATCAATGAAGAAATTCATCTAAAACTATGAGCCCATGGACAGAATTAGTGTATTCGAAAATAAAAGAACAAACCTACTCTCCTTAAGCAATTAAGTTTTCGCATTTCACCATTAAACCGCTTAGCAGGAATCTGTTTTCTAAAATTCATCCATTTAATGTCCCCGGATTCATCAGAGAAGATATTCTCGGTATTTGGTAATACGTAGCATCAGACTTTTGTTAAGACCTCCATCGCGTTGTTGAAATTTGGAAAGTGAAAATTTGCGACTGTTTGATAAAATATAATAATTATTGAAACCAAAAACCTTATGACAACGTTTGTTTAGAAAAGATAACAGTCATTTGCAAGAAACAAAAACAATTGACAAGAATCTGGAGAGAGTTCAACGTAATGGAATTAAAGTTAATTAATTAGAATGATAATTAAAGAAAAGAAAAAGATATTAGTTCAGTTCATTGAGTACATATTAGAGACCACGACTGATAAATCACCAACTTATGCACAGCTTTCTTCGCTATTTGCTCCATAACATTGAATCATGAAATGAAACCTCAACCTGTTGTTCACCGAATCGCTTAACAGGACCTTGCAATATTGTAATGACCAGTTGATTCTCCCCTAACTTTAAAAATGATTTAGGCACATAAAGTCGAAGCTGAGGTCCTTGAATCTGATCAAATCGACCAATGTGAAAGCCATTAACTGAAATTATACCCTAAAAGGAAGATAAAATATTGTGATTTTTAACTGTATGAAAAGACCGTTCGATGGTTCAAGAAATAGAAGTAAAAACAAAACGCTCACACTTAACGAAATCACCAGTATATAACTCTTGCAAAAAGTATTGATTTTGTAGGGATTTTGTTTAATTGCGTGAAGGATTTCATCGTGAGCTGACATCAGTTGGAGAACCACTGGAAAACCTGGAAGTATTGAACAGTTGTTTCGTCCTAGTTTGCGAAAAGGTCTTAAAATACATAAGTCTCTTTGATTTATACTTCACCAATGACTTAGCTAAACTTATTGTTCCAAAATGGATAGTTATTTGTATGTGAAAACTATAAACACAATTGTGTAGCTTTATCTACAACACAGAATCTTTCTGTTTAGAATTGTCCGCAGTTTTTATAACTTAATAGGTTCTCATGATTTGCAATTAATAGTGTTCTCTGAGCTGGTTGGTTTAGTTGCGGAGCTTTCGTCGTCCTTCTGGACAACATCTTCAGCGCAGTATTTAGCATAAAGTGAAATGATTTAAATTTCTTCATGAGTGATAGAATTGCGTCCCCGGTAACCATCTTTACTTATGTATTGACCATTTTCTATTGACTGGGATTTTAAACTTTCTGGTCACCTGATTTACTTTTTGTTAGTTGGTATATTTCGTCTATATTAACGTTTTTGTTAATTTCATTTTCGTTTGAATACCAGGCTTCTAGGAATTCCCTGGCACTTTTGGTGTTTCCTCTGTCTAAGACTTTGACATTATCCCAATCAAATTGATGTCCATAATCGTCTATATGCATTGAAACTAAAGACTTTATATCGTGTCTTTTCACGGCTGATTTGTGTTCTTGGATTCTAATTCGAAGGGGACGCCCACTTTGGCCAATGTAATGCTTGTTATAGTTCATACGATTTATTTTGTAAGTGGTATTAATTTTATCGCCTTTTGCTGTTGGATCTTTTGGTTTACATAATATCGAATTAAGTGATTCGACTGTGGATAACCATTCTTTTTGAAGACCGTTTGTAAGTATTTTTCTTCCATTCTTTTCAACTCAGTAGTGCTACAATGTGTTTGAACTCTTTTAAACAATGTCTGTACACAGTTTCGCTTGTGAGTAAATGGATTGTTGCTAGTATAGTTGAGTATTTGATCTGTGTGTCGGCGTTGATTTTCTATATACTTGTATTTCTAAATTTCCTGTGTTGGTTCTCCTGATTAAGACATCTAAAAATGGGATTCTGTTATCTAATTCTTCTTCTCCTGTGAATTTGATTTCTTCAAATATGTTGTTTATTAATTTATGGGTATATTCTAAATCATTTCTCTTATGATATACAGGAAAATAAGGGATTTAGTTTTATACGCAAATAAGTATTCATTTAGTTTTAGTAGCTACAACAACACCGTTTCACAACAAACCCACTCATGTAATTGTCAAGTATAGGAATGAAGTATGATCTTGATGATAAATTATTCTAAAGAGAAGACAAACACTGGCTAGAAGTCTTAGCTAATGTGTATGAGTCTTCACATGCCTTCACTGGACGTTTCTCATATATATATATATATATATATAAGTGAAGTAGATGACTACGGTATTGATTTATGCAATTAAACTACTTGTGAAGTAGCTTCCTATGTTATATGCTGTTAACTGACTAATACAATGTAAACAAACCAGTAGTTCTAATATAGTGGGGCGAAATTGAATCAATATAGGTCAAAATGTTTAGGGTCAAGTTTACAGATAAGCGGTGAGAAAACATGGGTGGAATTATTATCATTATTATTACAAACAAAACAAGAATAACGTTGTTCTGTAAATCTTGATGGCATTTGAAGGGTAGTCACGTTCCACTGTGTTGACGAATATACACTTAGAACTACAGATCACTTAGTTAAAATTTTCTTTTTAACATTATCGAAGAATGTTCTCCTAAGGTAAACTGGAAAAGTATTTACTTTTTCTAATGATTGATACTTAGTGATGTTGAAATGTGCACACAACGCGAAAAATGGTCTGAACACTTAGTCTATACATATTGATAAATTATAAAGAACCTAACTATTGGCAACTAAATGAAGATTCTGAAAAATAAATAAACTCATTATGGTAAATTAAGATAACAGTTAAATGAAAAAAACCCAACAATTAATACTTCTTACTCGTGAAAAAGAGTCAGGATGAATGAATGTATCACCAAGTTCATCGACAGTAAATGTTCCATGGTAAATGCGTCCAGGTACTGGCCACTCACTTTCAACCAGGGTGCCTTCGCTTTAAAAATAATTTAGAACAAACGGAAAGATTTACGATTTAAGCATGAGATTACTACCAACTGATATCAACTAATTAAATACGGGAAGGCAAATTGCGCTAGGTTCAGTTATTCTATGAAAAGTATAATCTCTCTTGTTTTAAACTTGAAATTCCAACGATATAATTTGTAAAGAATAATCAAGATGTGTTTATTAGTCATAATGTAAATACAAAGCCTAGTTATCGAACAAGTGATAAGCTATTCTCATAAACAATAGTCTTAAAAAGTTATATTCGCCGGTTATCAGCAGGGTTAGAAAATAGTGAGACGTCTGAAACGCTGTTTATAACACTTTTTACATTCAATGTTAAAGTGAAGAAAGATTATAAAATACAAAAAAACTTATAACTGACTGAATAATTCACATTTCGCATTTATCTGCATATACTTGGTGAACATACAAATAAAGTGCAACCACAAATAGTCGAGTAAAGGATTTTGTAGAGTTGAAAGACGCTCAAATCAAACACTATTGCACGCTAGTCATACTATTTCACTTGCTTTCTTGATGCTATGATGTAAACAAAAGCATACACTACGGTCTGCAAAGGAAACTATGGTAATTTCTCACCTTGGACTGTGATTTTCAGGTCACAATTCTGATTTTGCACACAGTCTAAGTTAATTTGTTAATGTGCTACGAAGTCAAGTTGACAACCAAACGTGAAAAACGATCACTATGACTGTTGCGACCGATGCAAATTTATCGTCCACTCATGATAAAGAAATTAGATATTGGATAGTGCTTGGAATGAAACCGTTGATTTATTTCTAGATTATAAAGTGGTTTCATTTGCGCGAAAATCCTAAAAACAATTAACTCATTCATTTTCAGGATACAATATGTGAAAATTAAATAAACACATGTGTACTGTTCCACAGTTTAAGGCAGTAAGTCGATTCGTGAAACGCCTGGTAATCTAGGAGATTGTCATTGGTAGCATTTCTGAATTGTTTGCGAAAAATAATGCATATATATATTTTTTTCCCTTCACGTTCCCCACTAGAACATAGGGCTTCAAGCTAGTGGCTTGAAGTTTCTGTAGCAGTGTTTATTTTTACAGGATGGGGTTCCTAGCCTCATGCCCAACCTTTCCTCTTTACCAACATTATTTCTGGCTTAGCGAGGTAAAGGAGTGAGTCGGCCAGGTATGGAACCCCGGACCATGTGCATGGTCGGCGAGCGTTCTCACCACTATGCCACCGACGCACGCATATATATATATATATATTTATATTCGAAAGACGACAAATGCAATCCACAACATTAGTCAACCTATACTTTCATGAAGGTTTAAGTATTTGGCGACAGAGGATAAAAAGTGGATTGTGGGATTAAAAGTGTCTGAAGTTAACTTCAACTCTTCCTGTCATAATTCCACCTAAGTAGTGTTTAAAACAGCAAGCCGATGATTAGAAACTGAGGAATTGATATATTTATTCTTTTTTCGTTCTGTACCCAGAGTTCTATTAATTACAATTCAGATTACTAAAGTTTGATTATATAGAAACATAAAGTGTCCACTGTGAATCACACATAAATTTTAGACTAATAGAACTGAAAACTATTTGTTTATGTGAATTGCTTACTGTTCAACTGCAATCATGTTGGCTGTGAAGTAACAAACAATTCATTGATGGAAAGGTATTCCACTTCCCCTACTTTATGATAATTTTTCTGCAATGTTCATTAACAAAATACTACAACAGTAACATTTAAACAAAATATTGTGAATCACCGTTATGTAGCATCACAGAAAACTGACAGATGCGTATGTGCATCCAATTTTTAAAATCAACAATCAACCATGTATTCAATACGTAGCTGATAGTCTTAGTGTCAAATAAAGAAAAACACATTGAAATGTTGTGAAAATGCTAGTTTTCGGAGGAGAAGAATGTAAAGGTGAAATTGACAGCTTGATATACAATTACTTATTCTTGCTTTAAAAATTACAATTGCTTTTAGTGGTAATCTGTGTCAAAATAATCCTCTGATTCCAATAACTAGTAGTTGTTGTTTTTTGTTGTGCAAAATCATAGAGTATGAAATAAATTATGCGCATCCTCGTATAGTAAGTTGTTTATAAGAGAGATGGATAGTATAAATATTAGCACTACACTATGTATGGTCAAATAGACATAAGATTTTTGTATTTCCTCTCGGATCATCTAGCGAGTAGTTCTTCTTAGTCTCTAAATTGTCCTACCCCAGCAACTGAATACATTAGTTTTACATACATGACATAAAATTTAAATGATGACATCAGTGAAACCTTTCCGTGTTAAATAAAATTACAACAGGAAAACAGCACCACAATAACTCTTAATACCATAGAATAAATCTCTGTTTAAAGCTGAACGGAGGCATATAAACTAATTTAATGTAGATTTATAAGATTAGTGAAGCTTAACTTACTTTTGATATACGTAGTCTAAGGAAAAAGGATCTTTAATTGGAATCATTTCCCAGACATCAAGTACTTTACTGTTAAGAAATACTGGTCCAATAATCCCCTGAAATATGAACGGCATTTCATTTTAAAACATACTAATAAGAAAAACAAATGAATGTAATGCATTAAAAGTATTTGTCTTTATCAATAATGACCAACAATCAGTATTTGTCTTCCCTATCGTCTGAAACGGCTGCCTGTTTTCAAGCTGACGCTCTCCATCAGTTTTTCTAAATAACGGGTATCTGTTTGTTAAATAAGTGTCTGTCTGCGAAGTTGTGATCAGTGAGGCACAGCAGGTCGGACGTGAGGACAAATACTTACAAATACTTGGCTAGTAGTTGCGCTATAGCATGAATCGGAAGAACTTGGAATTCATGGGCTAGCCGCTGAATAGGGTCCCAGTAACTTAATTATTTATTTAAACTAGGAAGAACTTGGTACAGTATGACACCAAGAAGATAACCCACACAATAATGATAAAAAAAACATAGATCAGAAGTAAAAAAATATAAGTAGAGAACGGCTGAAGAACTTCACCAGGAAAGAAAGCAGCTATACTTAACAAGTTCAAACAGTATTCGTTAAAAATCATCGGGAAGGGAAGAAAAAAGGAAATTGCAGCACGTTCGCCATTCATTACGATTTTTGGCTATATCCGATAACGTGTCAAGCTATCTCGCGGACCCCAACCAGGGAGTCGTGCTAATCTAGCACAAAAATCCTTCATCCCTCGACACCACGTCATGGACTGACCACCTCTCTGCCTTTTCCATCCTGTCCCACAGCTAGCGAACAGAGACCTGTACGGAAGCCTCTGGGATGACATTCGCAGCACATGTCCAAGCCACCGAAGCCGGTGTTTCCAGATGACGACACTCAACAAAAGGTGATCCTCACTATGTTCAAAGACACGCCGCCGAACCACAGAATTACTCACGCGATGATGCCATCGAACGCAAGCAATCCTGCGGGGACAGCAATTATCGAACACGCAGAGCCGCCGCATATCCTCAAGTGGGAGAGGCCAGGTTTCACAGGCGCAGAGCAAGACAGCCCGCACCGAATCATTGTATACCGGACCTTTGACAGCCAGGCTAACGTCGTGACGGCGCCATAGGTGGCTCAAGTTGATGTATGCCACCCTAGCCTTCATTATACAGTTGAAAATCTCATTCGTCACCCCTCCGCCAGCACTCACACAACTACCCATATACACGAACTTGTCGAAAACTTCAAGCAGTTCACTTGTCAGAGTGAGTGCAGGTATAGGCTCCTGCCAATCTTGTAACAGTACGCTCACCCTTTGCATGGCACCTTGCACATGAAGTCAATGTTCATCTATACTACTTCAGGGGTTGCTGGCAAGCATTGATTGTAACTCATTCTGTTATCTCAAAGAAGTAGCAGGTGCTACTAGTTTGCTCACATCAACGTTTAGATGACGCCTTTTATGAACCTCACCAAATCGCAAGACGAACTTGGCACACGCTAACGCATGATCAGAGTCCAAGCATGTGCTCCAGAAGGAGCAACAGTCTTGTATGCATCCTGACAGCAATATGATCAATTTGAGTTCAAGCTTGATTCGCAGAGGGAGGACGCCAGGTAGTGCTACGGCGATGGCTGTGCCGGAAGTTGGTGCTGGCAAGAAATAGGTTGTGATCCGCGCAAAGCTGCAGAAGACGGTCCCCATTATCTGACCTGTAACCATGTAGGCCCCATTGACCACCTAGACGATAATAATAGTAACTTAACAGTCTATGAGTTCGCCTTGTAACTGGAAGCTTTTGGGTTTCGAACGCCGGTGGGTGCGTACCGACGAAGAGTCCCAAGCTAGGATGTGGAAAACATCTGTCCAGTACTCCCATTTTTTCCAATGGTTCTCTAACAGATTTCAGCTCATGATGAAGTCCTGTAACTCACTATCTGTTTTATAAGCTAATTTACTAATGATAACACAAGAAATTCGCCTTTAATTTAAACAATAAATAAAATATCTGCCTTAATTATCAAGAAATATTGTTTGAGTGGATCAATGAAACAAAAATACTTTACTCAAAAAGTATTCTTAGGCTATTCTTTAAACACACTGTGGACTTACATGATTGAAGTCTACATATCAGTTACATAAATTTAAATGTGAACAACTACTGACGGATATACACCCCATCTTTTAACATACCTTCTTATCATAGATCATTTCGAAACCGTAATTAACATGACCAGCATTTTCTGCGATTATGGTTAAATTCTGTACATCATGAATATTATCCATTTTAAAAACTTTATCCTTGTACTCCAGTGAGCCATAATATGTCTTTAAAGATAAAGAAAAATTCCCTGTAAAATTGTCAGCGTGATATGAAAATATCATAAAGAAATGACAACATGCAATAAAGGGAGGAGAAAGTCTAACACTTTACAAAATAAACAAAAGCTGAGAAAGTTGAGTATCCTAACTTATTTAGTAGATAATAATACTATGCTAAGTGTGTAGGATATAAGAGAAGAAATCAAGCTTTTACTCACTTTCCTTTATATCATATGTTAAATTTATACAAAAGTGCAGAGAACTGAGTAGAATTGTGCAGCATGATTTTGTTGAAACTTTTTTCATTTCTTGATTTTCAAGTGAAAAAAATAGTGCTACAAAGTTTTGAAATTTCAGTAGAAGGGTTCTTGGCTTTACCGGGTAGACTTGCTGCTCTCATTCACGTTCTACCTTCCCTCTTTTCCAGGCTTACTACTAGCTAGTAGACCAGGAAAGTAAAATCTGAGTTGATCCAAAGAGAATTCTATTTCAATTTGATAAAATGACCGTATTTTTTGGTGACCAAGGACAGTGAAGTATTAGATGACGCTGTCATTAGATTACTTCAGCACTCTACAGCGTGAACTGAGTAGAGTTTTCAGAAGTCTAAATCATAAAGACCATACACTGGTATCTATCTAATCATGAATTGTATGGTAGATAGACCATAGTGACACAACTTACTGCTGCTTGTGTTACTAGACGATTAACTGTTTTCTTATTTTCAAGCAGGTCTGTTTTAGGTAACAAGTTACGTATTCACTGACGAACGTAATTAGAACAGTATAAGGTATATATCACTTTTCATGCTAGTGTTTAATAAATCAAGGAGCATTTATACGATGTGTCATTTAACAAGATGGGATGACATCATATGAGCCCTGTGTAATCTCTGTGTAGAAACAGACTAGATAACTGATTACCAAGTGAACCTGATAAATGATTCATACTTCAGGAAATTTAGTAAAAGTGGTATATATTATTCTCTAGAAATATTCCTTACGTTATTGTAAAACAGTGCGTCGGAGGCATAGCGGTAAGGACGCTCGCCGACCATGCACATGGTCTGGGGTTCAATCCCCGGTCGACTCACTCCTTCATTTCTCTGAGCCAGAAATAATGTTGGTAAAAAGGAAACGTTGGGCATGAGGCTAGCAACCTCATCCTGTAAAAATAAACACTGCTACAGAAACTTCAAGCCACTAGCTTGAAGCCCTATGTTCTAGTGGGGAACGTGAAGGAAAAAATATTGTACAACAGGTCGCTTTGTCCTAAAAATTCTTTTATTTTATTAGCGTTGTTCCCTTCTAGGAATACAGAATGTTAACAATATCTACCTAAGTGCATGAGTAGATAAAGTATAAAGTGAAGGCTAACAAGCATAAGACATTCAGGTATCTTGCAAAAATAAAAAAACTGTCAGTAATTTTCGGCTAATTATCAGCCACCTGTACATGCCAGCCTATTCATCTAATAAACTACTACAGTTTTATTCACTTTTATTCCTACCCTCTGCAGATTCCCGTATCTGTTTATGAAAGTGAAAAGGCAGCAGAGGAGAAGATACCAATAACTTCAATATAGCGGTTTCTAGTATACCTTCCAACAGGAAGCAATCTCATGTACATTTATAATTCACACGTTTTTATGCATCATTTAAACTGGCTTTGTTAAATACCATTTGAGAAAATTAGAATTAACTTTTCCCAAAGACAGTTCTGAAAACTGTGTGGCTTACAAAAAGTGGTGAAAATCAGAAGGTGAGTTTTTTTTCTAGTGCCAGAAAGCCCTAAATATGATCTCCAGGTAGTCGTAACCTGCTTAATTGTAGTTCACTTCGATACACTTCAATATAATGTAAATTTACTTTGAAAAATTTAAATGGAAAATATTTTGAGGCCCATTTCTACTAATGCAATTAGCAACAGACTTTGGTTTTCATACATTTTGTAGCTGGGTGGACAACTTCAATATCCTATAGCTATTTCTGCATTCATGTTCAACCATTAAAAAAAATATTCTCTAACACTGTTTTTTTCCAAACTCCCCAATGAACTGCCGGAAAATCTTCCTGATCCAAAACGCGTAGGATTATTTTTTAGTCTCCGTTGAAAGGTCTACAGAAACATTTCAGTTACCAAAGGATAGAGTATAGAATTGAACCAAAAATAATACAAAAGTAGTGTTGTAGTATTGATAAAATAAGAAGTTATCACTTCGTAGCATTGACGTTGCTTAATTCGTCCTTACAACCATCCATTATAATAAAGTATATACGATTGTAACCTAGTGATAACGGCTAGTCATAAAGGTTGACATGAAATGCACTACACAAATTCTAAAAGAAATGCAAGTTAACATCATGAAAATTCTAAATTTGTTTGATATTACTATGGAATAAAAACATACTTTAAATACACTTGATGATACTTACATAACGTCCAGACTTATCACCAGTAAAAATATGAGCAATATCTGAGATACGAAAGAAATCTAAAAATAGCTTCTCGGGTTTATCGATTGTTAAAGGCACTGAGTAGATCATGTATCCATTATACTAGCGAAACAAAAGAATAAAATAACACAAACAATACATAGCAAAATTATTATTACTACTACTACTAATAATAATAATAATAAGTAATAAGCACTGAATACATAAATGAAACTCCAACGAAACCTGCGTTGTATGCCAGACCACTGAAGCATGGTAATAATCATCAGGAATATAACCTCATGGAACCTTATGTAACCTAGATTTTAGAATTTCAAGTTTTTATACCTCTAACAGTTAACAATTCACTGTCACCACATAAAAATAGTTATAATAACATATTTACTCTAGACAGTGTATATAAAATGTACAGAATTTTCACAGGAATTAATTGCATGATATTTTCCCTTCGTACAATGTCTTCAAGTCTGTCTGTCTGTTTTCAGCATGGGACTTTGCATCAATGTGCAGCAGTTCAAGTCGCCACACTCCATGTAACACACAAAGCAAGGGAAGAAAGTAGAAGAAATTCACAATAGGGAAAGTAAACAGAGGTGTGAGACAAAGGAATAGTAATAACGAAGAACAATATAGTTTCATTTGAAATTATAAGTCACAAAGAGTGGGTGCATCTGCGCCATGGAGAACAGTTTTGAGCTATATCAAAGATTGTTTCCAACCATTGAATTTTACAGTCCCGAGGACCTCAACCAGGAAGTCTACACCTTCCTACGTGGCTTAAACTAACTGTTGTGGATTTCATTGACTGGCGCCATGTTTTGGTTTGACCACCGCTAGCTCTTTTCCAGTCTAACCCTATGTCAGCTAACATTGCCCGTCAAGGAAGGCGATGACTAGCTATACATAACACATGTCCTAGCCATCTTAATCTATGTAACTTCACAACCTCGTCGATCGATTTCCCCTCCTTATCTGGCACTCGAACGAAGTCTTACCTCAATATTGCTCGCACTATTATACCACTTCACACGGGAAGCAGGCAACTATGATCAAAGATGGCTAGCCACGCTTTTCATGTCTTCCACTCTGAATGGCCAGGTCTCGCAGCCAAAAAGGAAGACTGGGCGAACTGACTGCCGAGCAGTACACCCGCCTTTTGGTCAACAGCCGGATATCACGTCTACACCAGAGACGACGTAAACTGGCATATGCGAAACTAGCCCTCTGTATCCGTGCTGAGATTTTATCGACGATCAACCTGTTGGGGCTGATGGTACTTCCCAAATAAGTGAAGCGGTCAATGTGCTCCACCACTTCACTTCCTATTTTTAAACTAGGCGTCGATGTAGTCCAGTCCTGTAACATCATCTTACATTTGATGGAAGCGACTCATATGCCAAACATTCGTAAATTGCAGCCCAAGGTGTTCAGAAGACTCTACAATTTGTCAGAATCTTCACCTAGAAGGACTACATCATCTGTCGAAAGGTGAAGATATAATCAATACACCCTCTACCTGATCTGAAGCCTGTCTGGTTCTCTCGTGTTTGTGCCTCCCGAGCACCACTTAGTCTACGCATTATTATTGAGCCTAGGACTTTAGATGCCATTTTTGTCAAGCTAATCCCCCTTCTTGTATATGGGGATAATCAGTGACTAACACCAACCCGACGGGATTTCCTCTGATTCCCAGATGCTGTCTAGTACCTTAGACAGCAAACTGTCCCCACTAGATATAAATACCTCTGGAGTTATTCCATCAGGTCCCGCTGCTTTGCCTCGTATCAGACTAGTGACAGCCTTAGTAACTTCAGTTAGAGACGGAGGACCTGTGTCTATATCCCATTCAGGCAGGTGTTAGATATTCGGTAAGTTGAGTGTAGCTGTAGGCCAGTTAAACTGCTCCTCATAGTGCTCTTTTCAGAGTTCCAGTCGTCGATCCCGGGAGCTGATTATGGTGGCATTTTTCTCAGAGATTGTTTCACCCATCATTTGCCTTTTGCCACCTGTTTCCTTTTTTTTCCTTCACGTTCCCCACTGGAACATAGGGCTTCAAGCTAGTGGCTTGAAGTTTCTGTAGCAGTGTTTATTTTTACAGGATGGGGTTCCTAGCCTCATGCCCAACGTTTCTTTTTTACCAACATTATTTCTGGCTTAGCGAGGTAAAGGAGTGAGTCGGCCAGGTATGGAACCCCGGACCATGTGCATGGTCGGCAAGCGTCCTTACCGCTGTGCCACTGACGCACACCTGTTTCCCTGATAAGCCTAAATAATTGTCTGGTGTTACCATTCGCCGATGCCTTTTCAATCTCTTTCGCTTTTTTCACACACCACTGTTCACGGTCGTTACGAAGACTTCTTGATCATGTGCGTTTGAGTCGCTTTCGATCCTCCTCATAGTCCGAGTTGGCCAGAATCAGTCTTCTTGAGTCAGTAAGTTCTCGTGAGGTGACAGAAATCCCATGGCTCTTATTAACTTTTGGTTTTAGCTTATTAACGGCTTTTACAGCTGTGTCTAAAGCTAACTGTATGTTGTGCCAAGCTACCACAGGGGAAGTTCTGCTGTCTACCGCGTTTCGCTATTTCTTCCTTAAATAGGGACTCAGTGTCTCGATCTAGTTGGGGAGGTAACTGTTTCGCTGGCATCAATTTCTTATGTCCATTTAGTCGTAAACATAAACCTGTGCGAACCAGAGCGTGATCAAAGTCTACGCACGTGTTCCAGAAGGAGCGACAGTCTTCTACTGACCCTCGCCAACGATACCTTATCACTATGTGGGGTATCTGAGTCCAGCGTTGATTTGGTGATGAAGGTCGTCAAGTTACGCAGTGTCTCTCTTTATGCCTAAAGTTAGTGCTGACTAGGAACAGATGATTATCTGAGCACAACTGTAGAAGACGATCACCGTTGTCGGTTCGCTAGCCTGGAACTCCATACTTACCATTTACATAATTCTCAGTCTGGCACAACTTCTCTTCTTGGGCATTGAAGTCGCCTGCCAAAACAACTATATCTGAACGTTTTGCTTTCTGCAGCAAATTAGACAGTTCCAGGTAAAAATCATCCCTTAGTTCGTCTGAACTGCATTCGGTTGGGGCGTAGACGGAGACTATGAAAAGACAACGACAGTTAACGCCGTCCTTCCTTCTTCTAACGGACCCGTTCAGACGGACCGCACACATACGACTACCTACTGGGATCCAGTCAAGAAGTGATTTTTCTGCCTTTACACTCCACGCTATCCCTACACCTGCGAGTCCACGCGAACTAGCTGAAAGGGCCTCTTGACACTCTCAAAGTGAATTTTGCCGATTCACCTTGTTGGCCAGGTGGGGTTAAGTGAATGAACACACTCAGGTCTTGTATGCGAAGCACAACATGCATCCATGGTTCGAGATGCCAGACTTGTGGCTAGTGATGCCTGTTTTCCGATTTGGTAGAGGGTCCTGACGTTGAAAGCTCCTATATGAAGTTGGCGACGTGGCTTTAAAAGGCTATCTGGGGTGTCCTATGGTTTTCATCGTTGTTTGTGGTCAATGACTGAAGTGAAGATGCCTTACTAGCCCGAAGAATAGTACTAACTGTAGTGGGGGAGTAAGATGATGAAGGTGATGGAGGGGGTAAAGGAGAATGGTGCTACGGTAGGATTTGTTTGCTCTTGGAAGTGTGTGGGTGGTTGTTACTTCCCGGCTGCCCACACCGTGGAAGTTGCTTGATTCTCCGGGTGCCTGAAACAGAAAGTTCTTTAGTGTTCCGTGACTTTTCTAGCCACCTCTCTCCAGAGTGGAGAGACGCCATAGCTGGCATGCTGGTCATCTGAGGGAAACCCTTACTGCCGTTACATCTCTGTCCCCCACCAGTACGATTTCGCTCACAAACCCCCAGCATAGTGTTAGAAAATCCTTACACTAAGTCGGTAACTGCTTTTAGTCTAATCGCTATCCTAACAACCTTCCTGGCGTGTTAGAACCTGAAGGAACACTAGTTCCAGCCAGTGTAGCTTGTTGGATCATTGCGGTGTGCAAGCCCGACCACCATGTCAATGTAGCAGCTATCGGTCAGGATGTCTTGAAGTAAAATATTAATTGACAGCATATCTTGTGACACAGTGCTATCTGAGCTGAAGTACAAACCATCCCATTATGATATTTCTTCTCTGTTTCCTTCAAGAAATCAATGTATTGAGACACGTTGTCACCCACAGTCAGGCTTTTTCTTAAGTTAAGTAGGAACTTGCAAATCAGAAACTTGTAAACGTTTTAAATACACACGAGAGTAGATAGTACCACTGGAGGTCTTATTTTAATCGATCGAGAGAAAATAAATACAAGAGAGAGAGAGAGATGTAAGTTATTGGTAGCCCAAGTTTTAAGCAGGCGGCCGGCCTCATTAGTTCTCATCACCAAGCATACATCATAAAAGTAGCATAAATCCCCAACATTTTAGGAGATATACAAAACATTTTTGTTGACCAAGAACAATGAATAGAATAGGCGAATCAGCTTTGAGTGTAACAATAAACAAATTCAGATGGCGGTAACAAGAGTGTCTATTATATAGTTATTAAACCACCCAGTTTGAACAAAAAGCTTTAGGCTGAATTTTTACTCTACCGCCTTTTGAAAGTTATTTAACAGATAAACAGAAAGAAATTCAGTTATATAAGATTTGATAAAAAGAGAGAAATGACAAAAGATTTCTAAATCATTGACAATACACAAAGTACTTATGGTATTTATTAAAACTGAGTACCGCAACACAGCAAGCAGCCTCCGATTTTTGAACCAGTTTAAAAACAGCAACCTTACATGACTTCAAATGACAAACATAAAATGACTGTCCACACCTCAACAAATTGATCGGACCGTTCGAATTTCAACGCCTACATCAACTATCTGCTTCCCTCTTTTTGACATTTAAAAAAAAATTTCTTTAAATGAGCTGACTTTATATAAACTCTCTTGTCTGAACAATAAAAACTGAATTTTCCCTTACATGACATTTCTTGTGAGATATATACCAAATTCAAATTTCGTTGGTCTTATTTTATCCTTTATCTATTGCCTTTCCTTTAATAAAAAGAATAATATAAGCCTTCCCAGGAAATACAGCGGAATATATATTAAAAAATTATTATGCATTTTCTGGTATACTGCTAATCTAAATAAAGACATCATAATGCAAGTGAGTGTTTCCGTAAGCATATCATAACCACTCCTGTGCTGATAGTACATCATGCCACCACTGCAACAGTCAAATAATGAAAACTAAACTTCATTTAAATCGACACCTGTTTCAGAATAGAAGAGTTCACGCAGTAAACTTGTTTAGTGCATTACTAAACAAATCAATCATACAAGTACAACTTTAGCAAAACTAGCTGAAACCATCACAAATCTAAATGTGCCAAGCGTACCACATATAAGGCATCTTTTCCTGTGAAAATAGATATCTCTAACAGAACATCATTTAAACTAAACACAAAAGTATGTAGAATTTGTGTGAAGTTGACTTAAGTTAATGGGTTTAAGTTTACTTTGCACAAAAGATTCGGTTAGATTGTTGGGGCATATTAGCAGGCAAACATCAAAAGTGAAGTTTAAGGACAACCTTATCCAGCGGATAAGTCAGTTAACATCAACCAAAATATAGAAATACATTAGACCTAAACATTTCGCCTTACTTTATTCGTCCTGTTGAGAGTGCAGAAAATTTCTTTTCCATTTATAAGCACAAATTGACTTCAGTTAGAGGACCATTGATAACAAGAGGGTACAGAACGGCTATTTCGTCCTTTTTGGGGACGTTTCAGAAGGACGCACCATTTACCCCACCAGGGATACAGATATACACTGATGACGTTGCTTGGCGGTAGCGCCATATCGTGAAGTGACAGAGGTTAGACATGATGAGCCATTGGATTCTGTCCCAGTGACTGAATGATATATGAGTTCACCTTGTAACCTGAAGGTCCTGGGTGGTTGTGGTCATGGGTGTATACTGATGAAGAGTTAAAAACGAAGACGACATAGTTGTCCAGTACTGCCTCATTTAAACTGGTTCTTCAGCTGAAGTCAAGTCGTGATCAAAACCAAGACCAATTAAATCCCTACAAACCAACATTTGAAAATTTCTTTTCCGTTAGAAACCAAATATCAGCCTGATTTATTTTGTAAAAGACTTTTCCCAGTCACAAAAGCCTCATGCATCATCTCTATTCGTAATATACAAACATGTAAATTGGAATGTCTATGCTAAAAGTCATAGGAGTAGGTCATGTGAAGAGGAGATGAAAGTATGTAGGTAGACTTGGAGCGGGGTGAAAATGTTGGCAGAAAACCGAAGGCAATGGAGACGCGCAGCTGAAGCCCTATGTTCCTCTAGGAATTAAAGGATATAATAATAATAATAATAACGCTAAAAGTCGACTTCCCCTATTCTATTACAATGAATTTAAGACAATCTCAATGCGAAATTAAGTGATAAGCCTCATATATCTATCTTGCTACCATCTCATTCAAGCATTCAAGTCCACACATTTCTGCAATATTCAAGACATAAGATATTTCGAAACATGAAAATAAGAATGAGTGCTCAGCTTGAAAAGTAATCTTATAAACTAACATCTGCTTACCTGTCTCAAGCGCTCCATATGTACTGGAAAATTAGCATGCGTAACTGGACCTTTATTAGTCAGCAGGTGAGATTTCTAAAAGTTTTGAAAAAATGTATCCCGGATTGGAATATTTACTTGACAAAACGATAACAGAAGGTATATGCGAAAAGTAACAGTAGCAAAAATATTTTAAATAATATTTCACATCCAAACCTATGTTGAGTGAAATAAAGAAAATTAGGAGAAAATGCTGCATTGCAACGAATTACTAATACATAAATCAGTACTCAAAAGAAGTCAGACACTTAGAAATGTACATCAGCTGACTGGTATTTAAAGTTAAAATTTCAGCAAATTCACGAATGAAAATTGTGTCAATCAATGGGAAACTTTTCAAATATTGTTTTGCATTATTTTTATTCAAGTATTGGTTTGTAGGGATTTGGTTGATTGGTTACAGGATTTCATCATGAGCTGACATTGGTTAGAGAACTATTGGAGCACTGGACAACCGTTTCGTCCTAGTTTGGGACTCGTCAGCATACTTCAGCAGGTGCGTACTGATGAGGAGTCACCAACTAGGATGAAACAGCTGCCCAGTACTCCCAGGTTTTCCAGTGGTTCTGTGACCAATGTCAGCTTATGATTTCATTATTCTTGTTATGCGTTTCGTCACTTTTTTAAGTATGAATGAATCCGCTAGAAACTGTACACTGCTGCATTACATAGAAAAGCTAATCTGAAGCGAATAAAATTTGTTGAACTGGAAAGGGAATCTGGAACAGCTTAAATAAATTATCTTCTCTCCTACTTTGTAATCAAAAGCCAATTAATGTTGACAGGATCACCTTGAACTGACAGATAATGTTGTCTGTTTCAAACTGTTCCTGCAACCATACTACGTTATCTTTTCTGCATCAGATTTTCAGTTGTCAAACTCTTCGCAAGTTTTTTTTTCGCTTGTAGTGAGTTAGTATATTAAAAAAGTGTGATTATTATTTAGCCGAAAACTGTTTCAGTCGAAGAGTATAACTAAATCAAAAAAATAAAGGAGGGAAATTGCAACTCCTTTCGGTATATACGCGTGAAAAATTAGTCTTTTACTAATTGGATGATAATGTAATACATTCTAGATAGATAGATAGATAATCTTAAAACCTGCATCAATAATTAATTCCATGAATTATACTGTAACCAGACATTTTGTGCTTCCTACATTCTACTGTTGAACTTGATGGGAGATTAAGATGACCCAAGAAATGAAACTACTGACTGAAATAATTCATATTACTGTTAAATTTTCACCAACAAAATGTCAACTATCTTCTATATCAGAAGTTTCAGGACAATCTGTTAAACTAATATATGGAATGAATGTTTATATATACGAATGACTACTTATGGACAAAACTGACAGTAAAAGCTGATGACAAACAAGTTTGCACCTTGTCTATAATTCCATTAATTCGAACAAGGCAATAACCAAAAAACATACCTTATATCTGTGTCGATTTATGCTATTCAGATTTTTGAGAAAAAGACATTTAAAACAATAATCGAATAGTTTTGCAAATAAATAATAATATAATAATTTTTCCTTCACGTTCCCAGTGGAACATAGGGCTCCAAGCTAGTGGCTTGAAGTTTCTGTAGCAGTGTTTAATTTTTACAGGATGGGATTGCTAGCCTCATGCCCAACCTTTCCTCTTTACCAGCATTATTTCTGGCTCAGTGAGGTAAAGGAGTGCGCCGGCCGAGGGTCGAACCCCGGACCATATGCATGGTCGGAGAGCGTCCTAACCGCTATACCACCGATGCAAATACTTTATTCAATTCACCGATGAACGTTTTGAACAGGTTTGTGAACAATATCTGTGTAAGACTTGGGCACTGTGGTAGTATGTCATCCTATATCAATTTGTTTATTAGATATATAAAATAAGAGGCGTTCAGAGAAGGTACTCTTTCCAGTGGTATCATTCACAAGCTGTACAATCGCATTAATACAGTACATTGTCACAGCAACAAAAGGAATATTTCTAAAGATGTGTCACCAGAATTGTAAGTTTTACATAACTACTGCGTAATACAAAAGAATTTATCGGGCATAAAACTAAAGTAAAATTAAACAAGCAAGTTGAGTAACGCAACCTAATTGACAGGAATGAATAAAGACATCAATTAAAAGTGAGCACAGTGTCATAAGGAGTCAAAATGTAGTAGTCGGAAAAGAGACAAACTAATTTCATTGTAGGCTCCAGAAACTGAACACAAACTTCTTTTTCATGCAAAGTTTAGGATTTAACATATAGATTGCTATAGCTACTGTACTTTGAAGAAGGTTGATTCGTACTGTTTTGGCAAGATTTCCACATACTCTATCGACGACTCTGAAGTTTTTTTTGTGGGTTAGCTTAGTGTCCAGATTCGACCAGGGATTGCATAAGACAGATGAGGGGCTTTTTCCCCTCCGTAAAATCATGACAGTTTATTTTCTACGATAAATTTGGACAGCGCACGCTAAGCACGGCCGACATGCCTAGCTCTACAGGAGCAGGAGAATTGATAGATACACACTGATGAGGCCAGCAGCGGTAGCTTATCCTTTGCGCTTGTACGAATGATTGGTTTTGTAGAGAAAGCCGATTGTGATATGATATGGTATGATTATGAACAATAAATTGTGTTTTTCCATGCCCCATTTAGTAAATAATACTGTTTCACTGTGTGATATATGTTCACTAAACAAACTAATATAAAAGTTTTTTGAAGAAGCTTTAGTATTTTCGCCTTCACTCCTTACTACTAACAAAACTCTTCGCTCCCATCTCTTTCAACCTTATTTCTATGGTGGTTAATAAACACTTTCAGATAATTCTTTTGCAGTGTACTGCTTCAATATGCAATAATTGTGTTGTTCTGTGCATTTTTTTTCACTAACCGACTACGTAAATACTATACAATAAAAGCTTACAAAACTCGTAGCTAATTCCTTAAAAACAGTAAACCCTGACATACACAGACTCGTCAGACACAGTTTGCCCATTTGACAAAACATGTGTTGTTTGTTTTGTTTTTTTTCAAATATCAGTGAATCAGCATTGTGATCAGAAAGCTTGATAGTTGCTTCACTTTGATACTTCGACTGCACAGATATTTGGATAACTAATAAATTGTAAACCATATGTTACGAATCAATCTACTTGGAAGGCATATATAATATATATATATGCATGCATATATTCAAGACAGTGATTCACTACAGGTGTCTGTTTAAGCAAAAATCCATAAATTTAGTTTAAAATATTTTTTATACCTAACAGTATTACAGTTGTTGTTGTTGTTGTTTCAAAGATCATGAATAATATTGTTTTTGTTTAACTTAATAAGTGATGACCAAAGATTAAATACAATAACTGAAATATACGAATAATTTTCTTTTGACGCTAGTTATTTTAACAAAGTTCTATTGCAATATGACGAAAATATTCATTCAGACATCTATAAAAACAAAATAATTGAGCAAAGAATATCCTTTTCGATAATTTTATTTAATAATCTGGGTAAAATGATTTTCTCAATTGGTTCAATTTACAGTAATATTAACTGATGACGTTTTGCTCATAATCATATCGAAACGTCATCAGTTAATATTATTACTGTATAACACTGTGTGATTTATCAGAATAATTTCTTATCTATAATGAAACCCCGAACTCTGTATACAGAAAATTTTCGTTCAGTCTCTTATTCTACCTTGGTCTTAACCCCTTCATTAATCGTTCCCTGTACAAAATTTTGATTTTTCTTTTGTTTTTAATTTTTAATTTTACTTTTAGTTTGCTTTTGCTTTAATAATTAATTCACTATTATCACTCTCATATGTTCCTTTTGTACATATTCACACCCTCTTTAAACTTGTTAAACTGGCACTCAGCTACCTATATTCTCAATCAATATTAACTTTGACCTTATCAAATTTCTAATTTTGTACCGTTGACTACCATGTAATTTACGACTTTAATTTTTTTTTACTTCTAGAGCCACTTCTCAGTAATTATATGAGTTAGAGCTCCAATTTATCTGTTTTTTTATATATCGTGAATTCATATAAATCTAAGGCATCTCTCCAAACAATTGCTATGATCCTAAAATTAGTATGCACTGTTTAGCACTGTAGTTCATTTTTTTAAAAGTCGTTTACGTTTCCAGTAAAACACAGGGAGTCAGGCTTCAGCTTTGGAGTTTCCGTAGCAGTGGTATTTTTTTACGCGCCTGGGTTGCTATTTTCACGCGAAAACTTCCCTCTTTACTGGGCTTATTACCAACTAAGCGACATTGAGGTGTGCATCGGTCAGAACTCGAACCTCGGAGCATTTGTGAGGTTGGCGAGTATTCTAACACTGAAGCACGGACGCGTACTGTAGCTCAGGTAGGTTTAATTAGCAGTAAAATTAGACCAAGAACTTAGAGGATTTCGCCTAACAAAATTAACGCATAAAATTACACTACAATTTAGCAATCTTCACTAACATAAAATCCCTATTCTAAACTCATGATAATTCCTATAAAATACAGGCCGAAGTTTCTTAAAACATTTGTAAATCAAGTAAAAAATACACGGTTATCCTTTATAACCCTAAGATATACGAAACTCAGCTTTCATCTTCTAACTACTGATATCCATTTCACTTGCTTCAGTGGGTCGTCGTCTCTTTCTGATCAAGCCTTTAATTTAACTGCTACTGTGAGCTTTTTAAAATATTAATTATTTCTTAAGAAAATAAGCTTTTCAATTTATGAAATAAGGTAAGAAAAACTAATGACTTACGAGCATCATTTTAACTTTACCGTATGCTTTTTTAGTAGTATTCTGAGGCAACTGTGGTGGCTTTATACCTTTTCTCTGAAATACAAAACAGATATCATCATGTAAATCTGTAAATAGAAAATAAAAGATTAAATCAGCTTACAGGTTACCAAATACATTCAGGTAGATCTTTTAGAAAAATTCTAAAAAGTTATTCGCATTGAATCCCCGCAACCTATGTACACATAAATTCGATCAGGATGAGGTTCATAACCCCACCACAGAGTTTCTTAACACAACAATAACTGCCGACAAAAGTAAGAAACACAGAACAAATCACCGTTCAAGTGTTAGCATATGCGAAACAAGTAAGAAATGTTAATAAAGCAGGATATAATGAATTCATTCAATTTTGATAGAATTCCTAAGTTGAATGTTTTGCATTCAGTGTTATACGTACTATGCGAAATACATAAGACATCATCCTCCTTTCCTTGAATTTCGAGTGGAATATAGAGTTTTAGCGGCACACTGTCATTCCAGTTGGCTATGTGTCATCAAATTCAGCTATCCTTACGACTACCCACAAGGTCCTATTTACTCTTCATGTGAACTCACTTGAAGGTCTCTTCATTGGGTGTCCGATTCACCTCCACTTACTTTTGTATGTTTATTGAGCAAAAGGTTGTTGGCTGGTTTGCCGTCAACTTTCACATATCCATAGTAAACCATTTCTTGTCATGCCTCTACTCCCTGTCTAAGATATCTATCCAGGTTCCTCTATATGGAAACCACAGTCAAAATGTCTGACATGTCAAGTTCATATAGATAGAAGCTGCGAGAAGTATAAGACATTGATAATTAAGATTATAATACATTAACCTTTATTTGCGTCTTTTCATATACTTATTCCTCTTATAGACTTGAATAGAGCAAAAACAACAGCTTGCTCAGAATAAAACGATACCTTCATTTATTTCGTCGAATTCTCACAAGCTGCGTACCAAACTCACATGGTGGCTACATCTATTAGTTCACTTGCTCTTGTGAAGCAAGATACATTGGCCGTATCCGCAGAATGCCTTCCACACGGATACAAAATAATACTCCAAAATGGTTTTACAAGGCAGAAACGAGTAGAGTGAGAAGCTCTATTCTAGAATACTAGATCGACTTCTACCAGTCTACCAACTCCGACAATGATTTCATAATCATTATCAAATTCATGCTAATTTGCCGCGTTTTCTTCGTTCTAAAGTTCTAAAGACAAAGGGGGCCTTGGCCGCCCATAAATTCAAGTCAAATATTTGAGTACAGATGAAGTCTGTACAGTCTGTATTTCTAACTTGATCCTAAAGGGATAAAAATTCGTTCATTCTTTCTTCGTTTTGTTTATTTAATCCGTGTATCTTTCCCTTATTATTACGCTTTTTATTATTTTTGTTTTCACTATGAGCAGTTCTCAGTATTATTTCACTTGTTCCCTTTATTATTCCGAATCAATACATTTTTGGTATTGTTAAAATCTGTCTTGTAAAACTGCTTACAATGTTACGTTATCTACTAGTCCTCTTGATTTTACATCACTTTCTAAGATCTGTGTATTCAATGGACTGGTATTATTTATTTTATCACTTCATACTGAATCACGAATATTTTATCATATTTCACAATATTATTATTATAAGTATTCACACGTTTGTTTAAATTTCCTCACAGAATATACTTTCTTAAAAATTATATATACATATATATATATATATATATATATATATATATATAAGTTAGTTAAAAGGATTCATTTCGCTGAATATTGTGTTTTTAAACCTAGAATTACTCTAAAAGTGTTTTAATGTATCGCGTAACACTCTTCCAGAATGTTTCTTAAGGAAAGATGAAAATACCCGAAGTGATTTCCACAGTAAGAATCTGAGGTGAGAAGGGAATTTGAAACGTGATTCAAAAATGAGCAAGGTAAAATTCGAGTAATTCAATTTCCTGAATCCCAGGAAGGAAACAAGTACTCACCTTAAATAATAGTTCTCTAAAAACCATATACTTCCATGTTATATCACCGGACTCACTGATAGGTGCGTCGTAATCATAACTTGTAATTGATGACCTTGGTCTAGCTCCACCATTCCAAAATCCGAAATTAGTTCCCCCATGGAACATATAGCTTTAAGAAGGCAAAAACAACGAACAATAATGAAACCCAACCAAATTTCTCTTAAATTATGGGTATGGAAGCTTACTGAAGTGTCTTCAGGACTTAGCGCCAAGGATATTTCACTAACAATGATATATGAGCATGAGAGATAATTAGCTAATCATACACACATCTGTTGGAAAACCCTCAAATTTTCAAAAACCAAATGTTAAGTGATTCAATTCTGTACAATGAATACCAACAGTTAGTACTACCAACCAAGAAAAAAGCTGATTCCTGGAAAACGGTATCATCTTTATGTTTTCATATTTTCGTTGACTAAACTGTGGAATATACATATTAGATCACAGGAAAAATTAAAAATACTATAATAGGAAAGAAAATGACTTAATGCTCTTCATAACACTAATTCATTCATTCATTCACTATAATGTATAGATAACTGTAGAGCCTGATGATGAAGTTATCGAAAAGAGTATTCTTTGTTTAGTATCCATTTTTTTGAAAATGAGTTTGGAAAAGGAAATTTTCCCCACCGCAACCATCCAATTGGCTTTTCCTATGACTGAATTGCATGTCAACCACGAAATGTAGTCATTGACAAACATAAAGCCTAAACATGAAGCTTAAAAAATTATTTGCAACGGAAAGGCATATGCCTACAGTTATACTTAAACTTCGACGCGCCTCATTCAAGTACTCAACAAGTCCATAGCCATACTTTATCGCTTAAGGCTTCAGTAAAGTAAATGCATCCATGGTAATCAGCCAACACACATACTCAGAGGAAGATGGAGTGATAATGGGTTCTCCACAATTGCTTTATGGCGTACTTGGAGTGCATTATCCTCCTGTCAACGATCAATTGTGGCACCTTGATGATATCTTCATCGTCGAAAAAAATACTGATTTAAACATAGGCCATGCCATCAGGACATTGTCTAGACATACCCATGAACACTTACCAGCATGATTGTCAAAAGGAGAACGCAGAAGAGTTAACAGTTGAATTTCAGAACACACCATTATTTCTAGTCATACAGCATCATTAGAGACTACATTCACAGTCACACATAAAGTACGATCAAGCCGTTCAAAAGGGTTTTGCCTACACTGTCTTTATGAAGTCTACAAAACCTAAACTTTGTGTTCAGAAACGTTTTATCCAGCCTCTTTCACTACTGTAGCCTTAGGATTGATTTTAAATATCCTGAATAGTTGCATAATATACTCTATGTAGTTATTTTTTTTATTTTTCAGTTTTATTCATTAATTTTTAATTTCATTTTGGCGTCGGTGGCACAGCGGTAAGAATGCTCGCTGACTACGCATGTGATTTGGGGTTCGATCCCCGGCCGATGCACTCCTTTACCTCAGTGAACCAGTAGTAAGACTGGAAAAAAGGGAAGGTTGGAAGTGAGGCTAGCAACCAACTGACAATAACTCTGACTTAATTGAATTAATTTTTTATAACTTGTATCTTTAGGATAACATAAAGGCGTAAGGCGGTGAAAATCAACTTAAAAGATCTTTTAATGAGTCCAAATGATGCATCAAACTGAAATAAAAATAATATACAAATAAACAACTAATATGGATGCCTTTAATAATGTTACTCTATTAACATTTTGTTCAACTGTGCATAAACTAATGGATTCCGATTAGTATCAGTGAATATGGAGACTTTAAAAATCGTTTTCATTATTCACAATAGAAGTTTAGTGGTTACAGCTAACTTCAGCTTTACATAACTAAAGAAATATCTTAGCTGGAGACGAACAAATTACTCTCTAGTTTCTTAAATGAACACTTTTCAGTAGGTAATTGATACAACATATCCGACCTGTTGGAAAACAAGCCCTTAAAGATGAGAGAAACAAAATATAAACTCACATATTGACATTAACTCTCTCTGAATAACTAATCAAGTGATTTAATGCAGTTGCTGCCCGTATAGGATCGACTCGATTGTGGATACCGTTCCAAACATCTAACCAACCGACATAGTATTCACTGTTCACCTTGAATTGAAAGTTAGTGAAGTAGGTGTAGGTGAGCATTTAATAAATATTATTATATTATGAACATTTCATTTAACCATTTCGTACCGAAAAATAGACATTTTGTAAAACACTTTTAGATTGAAGTAGGAACAATTTATTGCTTTGATTTGAGGGTGGTAAAGAAAGTAAAACATATCAAGTCAAATGCTTATAACACTATAAAAAGATGTAATATACAAAGGTTATCAAAGTTCCATATTTCTTAACCAACCTGTCGACTAAGAAATCAACTTTGGCACCTATCATCATTACATGCCAGTTCTACCAAGCACACGATTTTCATTTACAGCATAGTTTAAGACAACTGACGTTCAGCTTTTACGGTGTTATAACATCTAATTAATAAACACAGTTACAACATTTTGGAATTACGCCACAAAATACTAAACAGGTATCTTAAGCTTTCAATATGAGAATGCTAATCAGAACTCACTATTCAACCGGTTGGTGAAACAATGTACTGTTAAACGTTAAACTATTGTTAAAATTTATGGGATTTTTCCTTCACTTACTAAACTTGTAAACGAATACAAAAATATTCAAGTGTTGGTTTGCAGGGATTTTGATTTCATTGGTTACACAATTTCATCATGATCTGTCACCGTTTAGAGAACCATTGGAAAAAATATGAGTACTGGACATATGTTTCTTACGTCCTAGTTTGGGGTTCTTCAGCGGTACGAACCTACTGGTGTTCAAAGCCCAGGAGCTTTCAGTTACAAGGCGAACCCGTAGACTATAAAGTTACTGGGACCCGATCAAACGGCTGGCCTGTGAACTCCAAGTTCTGCCGATTCACGCTATAGTGCGACTACTAGCCAATGTCATCGGTAAGTATCTGTCCTCACGCTCGGCCTGCTATACCCCAGCCATCATGACTTCCCACTAGAACCCAGGTAACTATCTACCTGAATAGGGCCAGTCACGTTGGTTTGCAGGGATTTGATTTGACTGGAAACAGGATTTCATCATCATCATCATCAGAAGAAGAAGAAGAATGCATTTAACTTCCGTAGATTTCACTGGATTTTTATAATGACCAGTGAAATTTGTAGACGGTCACATAGTATTCAGTGGAACAGTCCATGAGGAACTCATAGCTTTTACAGAGTATTCAAATTCACTCAATATGTTCTGAAAGTCAAACACTGTTTTCTCACTCCTAATCAGGATACTGTCAGCGCTTTACCCCAAATGGTTTCATAATGGTATGACGATTTTTAAATGAGAACAAAATGTTATACTTTTGGTTTTCAACGACTCCCGAACTAACACTGACTAGTGATGAGATATACTCTATATATCTGCATTTATTAAATTTACAAGATTATTAAAACATAACTTTTTATCAATAATTATAACAATCATCATAAAGCCAATAGACACAACTAACACGTGTTTATTGTGTGAAAATCTTATCGGCTAATGTATTAGATAGTTAACTGCAGTGACAGCTGTTAATAATAATAATTCAGTCATATACACAGACAAATAAACTTGCACTAGGTCATTACGGTATGGAAGTTACGTTAGTCGTAAATTATAGAAAACGCACAGATATGAAAGGAATCTGTTGCGTTATGTTAGGAAAAACAATATCCACAGACAGTCACGAATTATTGACATTAGTCTAGTGTAAATAATTACAAATAACATTGATTATAACTTGTGATAAAATTAGTGGCGTATAGCTTTACAGTGAAAACAGAATAAATATAAGAGGAAAAAGGAACTCCGGCACCTCATATACAACATGGACAATTAAACTTCTCTCTCATCACTAAAGTTAAGTTTAATTTGTGAGTTTGTGAGGTAGGAGTTATAACTCCTACTGGGTGATTTAACTTAATACAAATAAGCAGACATTATTACATTCAATCCATCATATTCATTCAAACTGAAAATTAATGTGATACAACAATCAGGAAGAAAATAATACAAGTTTTGCACAAATTTATTCAGTAACTACCGGTTGCAAGTTTATTTACATCCGCGCATGTATTTATTCTACAGAAAAAGAAGCAAGAGTTGAAAGCCAATACTCTTATCCAACGCTTTCAGGGGATGAACAGACTAACTTTATATTTAATGGAGACGTGGCAAGGCTTTTATGCTGGCTTGTACCTATCTCACCAGCAACGTGAATAAGCAGCCTCATTGAGCATCAAAATATGGGCTGTCAGGTGACAATTAGTTTAGAGTCTACTGCTTCTAACGTCTGGGACGAATAGTACCATAGCCTAGCCGTTTAGTGTTATCCATGATCCTTCAAATTCTACATATTGTACCAATCCAAACAAAATGTAACACTACAACTTTAAAAAATCCAATACTGAAGCTATTCAGTAAAGAGCAGAAAAATGATAGGTAGTTGTTAGGCGTAACGATGTTTAATTAAAATTGAAATTGGAAACTATTTCGCTTCGTTGCAGGTATCTAATGTTTTCATTTCAGACAGTCTAAGCCAGTCAGTTCCAGTTAAATAAAATAGCACTGATGGTTATGTGGGAACGAGACTAACTCATGTTTGAAGTTCAAAATACAGAAGTTTTGATAGGGAAAGTGGACTTCTAGTCAGTCTGATAGACTTAAACTAGTTGTTATTTGTTAAGAAGATAAAAATTTTGAATTTTTCAAAGCTACAACTGGCATTACAATCAAATATTTTCTTTAAGACATACTAAATTCATGCATGTTATCATCGGCATTAACAGAGGTAAGTGCTTACCCATGGTTGGTTTGCTCGAAACATTTCTAGAGGTTCGAATGCTTTGGGAACAGGGATGGTTGCTGAACGGTGTAGGGAAAGTGTGATACGTTTTCATTAATAAATAACAAAGAAAGTAAATTAATTTTATTTGATAAATGTAAAAATGGCAGTGAAACTACTTGCGTAAAATATTTTTCTCATTATCAAAATCAACTAATGCTACATATAGTAACATTTTAACAACAAAAATAGAGTCAATCAGTCCAGCTGTATGAACTGATGCTAAATATATGTGTACCAACAGTACTCTCGGTGCTTTCTATTGAGCATTCTGTTAAAACTATACACTTGTGATTTCTTTAAGAAAAATCGAAAAGTTGTGTGAGTGCCTTGATATTGATTATGAGCAGTAATAATTTGTGCTCAAAACGTCATCAGTGAATATTACTGTACAACACTGTGTGATTTAGCAAAATGAAATCTTATCCATAATGGAGCTATACTCTACCACAGTGCCTAAATTTTATACTTATATCAATAAAAATCGATATATGCTTTTTAGTGATAACTACATTTAGCTACTGATATAAGGATAAAACTTGAGCCCTGTGATGGAATTTAATTCCACTATGGCTAAAATTTCATTTTGATAAAATCACAAAAAAATTGTACAGTAATATTTACTGAATGACGTTTCGAGCACAATTGATTGCTCATCATCATATCATCAAAGTACTCACACAACTTTCTTGCTTCGTTTACATACATGAGTAAATATTGATTAGATATTTGACCCAGCTTATATTGGTATAACGAGGGTCAACTACATAGGTCAAACTAGTAGATCAGAAGTAGTGAGATTATCAGAACATAAGAATTTAGCTAAGGTTAGAATGATTGATCCCATGAAGATGAGTATTTTAGGGAAAAAAAACTCTACAATCGCACTGCATACATTAAAATACAACCACACACTATGGTGGGGTAGATTCAAAATTCTAAAGAGTAATATAGGTAGGTGGGGAGAGAGAGTGATTGATTACTGAATCCTCGTTAATCCAGCCTACACCTAACACATGCAACAGAAATAACTCAACGTAAATACCAGAGATATGGAAGATGTTAATATCACTGAAATCAAAGGATGATAAATAATGTTAAAATGTATTCAATTCACATTATAACATTCTAACAAGTTACTTATTTCTCCATCTTACTGACTAACAATACACGTCTTACTCCCCATCCTGCTGTATTTTATTGATAACACTAATATTATTTCCGGATGTACTTCATATTCCATTCTGTTCTACACAAATTTTATTTTGATTTTATTCAAATGTCTAATCAATATTTACTCATGTACATAAACGAAGCAAGAAAGTTGTGTGAGTACTTTGATGATATGATGATGAGCAACGGAATCCAGATAGTTGACCCGAATAAGATAAGAAATCTAGAGAACAGTCCAGCCATAGCACTACATGCAATTACACACAACCATACTATAGGCTGGATGGGATAAGATGACAGTTTTTAAATCTCATGTAACAGGGTGGAGGGAGAGATTGATAACAACGGAAGCTTTGTTGATCGAATCAACTGCTAACACGTGTAACAGGAGGGATTCAACACCTGTCCCAGATATCTGGAAAATTCTACTACCCCAACGATGACAAATAGGAGAGAACAAAGAAGACTATAAAACTCAATTTTGAGTGGAATAAAGTGATTATTATTATATTATATTATATTGTGCTCGAAACGTCATTCAGTAAATATTACTGTACAATTTTTTTGTAATTTTATCAAAATAAAATTTTACGCATAATGATACATTTAGTTACAGCTAACGCAACAAACTTAAAGCCTACTGTCACTCATCTTAACAAATTCTTCTTCTTTCATTAACCTGCTGAGCTTTTTAATTTGGTTATTCTGGATTTATTGAAAGCAAATGATATTGTAATGCTCACTTTTTACTACATTGAGTTTTAACTTCAGCTGATGTATCATCTCATGTCTGATAACAGTTAATTTCTTCATGATTCTATAGAGTTATTTCCTTAAACAGAGTCTAACATTCTGTTTTCTTGCAGCTTTCACTATGTTTGTCGCAATCGGAAAGCGTATATGAAGATACTGAGGAATAATTCCAATGTTTGAGCCACGGAATATTAGAAAACAGTGATTTGTAAGTTGTACTTTTGTTTGTGACCATCATGTGAGTTTATTGACTGGTCACCGAACAAAAAGAACATAAGTTAAATTAATGCAAAAGCAAGACTGTAATTCTATATCAAGTGTCTTCACATTAAAGAAAATGTTATACCATCAGACCGACAGCAAAAAGCAGAGATGAATCTTTTTCAAAGTTATTCAAACGTTTATTGATTGAATGTAAACAATCCCAAAGGCATGTTGAAAATCACAGGAAATTAAATGCACATATCTGTACTTGTTCAGTCGAAAGCTAGTGGTTGATACACAAATTATATTTACTTCTGTCTGATTTTGTGTAGAGACAATTTGATAATACAAAAATGGTAAGCTAGTGATATAGTGTTTTAAATAGTGAGTTTTACTTGTGTTGAGGAACGCTTGCTTAATATCTCTCATATATGGGCCTGATTGTTGCAATCAGTCAGTATTCTCCTTTCATGTCATTGGAATACCCAATTGATTAAGTGAATAATCGAACTGCGCAACAGTTTTATTGTGTTCCACTTTAAAACTTTGTCTAGATTTGGACGAATGTATTAGTGTAGAAGATGCAGACGTTTTTCAAAGGACTATACATATCAGGGAACCATTTGAGAGAGAATATATAAAAAGAGTGACATATGAAATTATCAATTAATATTCAAGTTATTCGTTAGATAAACATCTACCATGAACACATAGGATTCAGTCGACCGTAGCAAAGAGTTTGCAGATAACTCTATATAGCTTCATTTGCTGCTCATTGAAGTTATCAGCGCAAGGTATATAAACGTGTTTTGGTCACTTGTGTACATTTATAAAACTACGAAGTAGAAAACTATTCACTTCTTCTTTTTAATCGATAGGTAGTAACAGGCTGGAAGTTGAACACAACCACCACTGTTTTTTTTACATTCCTTCACGTTCCCCAGTGGAACATAGGGCGTCAAGCTAGAGACTTAAAGTTTCTGTAGCAGTGTTTATTTTTACAGGATAGGGTTGATAACCTCATATCCAACCTTTCCTCTTTACCAGCTTTATTGCTGTCTTAGCGAGGTAAAGGAGTGAGTCGGCCGGGGATCGAACCCTGGACCACCACTGCTTGGTACAACTTAATTGAACAAAGAAATTTCAAAGCATTTTATTGCATTCTATTTTTTAGACGGCTTGTGTCAGTAATATGAAGAACTACAAACTGTCTGAAGCGTACTTTCTTGGCGATAATAACCAAAATAATATGCTGACAAAATTCAAGTCACCGAGGTATTTTCATCGGAGAAATGATTAACTGTTGAAAAAGCAACCCGATAAAAATCGTAATACAAAGACCTAAGGTGTTATTTTAAAAAGAAAAAATATGAAGAAAACATACTGGGACCAAAGTCGATTGTAGCTAGATAACGTTTATCAGATGATCCGCATTTCAAAAGCTGTAGGTCAGCACCATCTGTTGTGAAAATTAAAATATTTTCACCTAGAAGAGAACGTCCTAAATCATACAATTCTGTCATATATTTTTGATCACAATTTATATACGAGCCATACTCATTTTCCAGCTGAGAAATAAAAACAATTTAAAAGGTAGAACAGAACATTATTTTAACCATTCGACCACTAAAAAAATGGGAAAAAAACTAGGGATAACAGTTACTACCGGTAGGTAATCCCGTTCTGCGCATTATTTTTCTGCACAATCCATTCTCAATGTATGCCGTTTACGGATATGCAAAAAATTTACCATTTTGAATGACTGACTGGGAGGGTAGTGTGGAACACTGCACAAAAGTGCATCAGTTGAAGTTGGGAAATTTCGAAACAGCACTCAGAATGTGAACAGGTGGGATGAAAATTATAAAGTAATGGCAAATCATAAGTATGAGGGGGGGGTGGAGGGAGAAAATAAATAAATTCAGATCAACGAAATTATTTATATTGACAGAGTTCAGTTTCTCTAGGAATTGTCATCACAAGAAAAAATAGATGTTAAAAGTATGAGTTTTTCCTGAATCTATCAATTTTTGAAACTGATTTCGCTGGTTTCACAATTCTCAGTTATCAAGAAACCTTCAGGAAGTGTATGGCTGAGGTTTCTGAGCACCCACAAGAAATTAAATGATGAACCCTTGATATAACAACTTAATATACAAGCACATCTGTTTCATTAATCTAACCATATTTGGATTAACTCAAATTTATTGCCATAGCTAAATACTGCCATGACGACAGACATTTATACCATCATCTGTTCTCCAATCACTTGTTTTATTCATAACATAACTTTCCAAGCTCTAGAAGAATCCAAATTATAACACCATTTATTCTTTCAGTAAAAATATATGGAATTTGAACAAAGCAAGAACTACAGTTTTAGCAGAATAAAATGGTACCATCTTTTATTTCGTTGCCTTCTCGTCAGCTGCTTACATGGCAAAGACATTAAATATATCTACAACAACAATTTTAACATACTTGCATAGAGTTCAGTTTAAACAAAACTCAATCGATCAATATACGCATACACTAAAAATATATATATATATATGAATAGGAAGTCCTGTTAGATTTACAGAAGATACAGTTGTAATTAGTGGAGTATGTGGTTTCGTTTGAAAAATGATGCTTGAAAAGATATAAGAACCTTTAACTTTCACAAATTCGTCGACTGTAGGTGTCTTTTATAAGTCGAGAATAAGGTGGTATTGATAACTATTAGCAATAGTTTTGTATAACTACGATTCCTTGGCACCTGGGAGTATGGTCATTTATTTGTTCCAAGCGTGGTACGCTTGGATTCACTTCACCTGTCCTAATTAGCAACTTTAACTCAATAATCTTTAGTGAAATGAGTTATGAAGAAAATAAAAGACAATTCAGAGAAGAAAATTTTTTTGTTGAATTGTCTTTTTTAAATGAGTTAACATGAAGAGATTTTGACAAAACCCTGATGGTGAATATTCTTAGCTCAGATAGGTGACACTGGTATAGTTGTGTTCTCTGAGCTCCATGGTCTAGCTGTGAAGCCTTCATTGTCTTTTTAGACATTCTCAGAGCACATTTCAGTTTGAAATCAAATAAGTCTATAAGACTGACGAGAAGGTCAGTTACTATGTTTCATAATAATTATGTACAAGGTATTGAATGTTATCAAAATAAAAAAGGTTTGAGGTTCTTGTTCAATCTTCACCTAGTTTGTTCATATTCCCTCAAAAAACTAACATCTGGATCTACAGCCAGTGTACGATTTTCTGAACACTAAGTCTACTGTTTTAACTAATGGACGAAAATAACTACTTGGTAGGCAACATTTCATTTTTTCATGATTTCATATTCAATGAGCGGTTTTTGACAACATTAGCTCAGTCGTTTCTTCTATACACCACCGAAGGGAATGACTATGTAATATGCGTCTCTAGGAAATTCACATACATTGAAATGTGTCTGAATTCTAGTTCACCTGTAGATCTCCATGTCAGTATGTCTCAAACAGGTATCCCACTGTAGGTTAGCTACATTGGTATCCACATGAAAATGAGTCAGTCATCAGGATTCGCAGGTGATCATTATTGAAGTAAGCATGCGTCAGTATTCTCCCTCTCGGGGACAAATTTTTATTTGTGTACCACACCTTTATGTTGAACAGATCCTCAGTAGACCAGGTGCCCTTGTATACTCAATTACAGCATAAATTGTTATAAAAAAGTTTGATTACGCACTAGCTTACCTGTACCATAATTATTGGTCCCACATTTTCATATAATAAGGGTTTAATGCTGGGTAGTAGAACGTTGAACCACTGTCTCACATACTTCATATATTCTGTAGGAAATATTTTCAGAAAACAAAGTTTGTTCTAAGAGTTGCCTGTAAAACAGGTTCAAGTAAGTAAAAATGAACGTCACAAAAGCTTTTATATATCTCTGGTATTCTTCTTCAAAGGTTTAAAGTGATCCCATCCTATTTATTTAACTATAAATGCAACTACATTTTTTGGTATATTTTTATTTACCAGACTATAAGACACAGTTACGGTTTGGCAGCTTACCACATAGAATGCAAAGCTAGGTTTACATGCCGTGTTCAAGTAACGTAAGACATTGCAAACCAAACTGCAGTGATACTTAAATTTCGGCATCAAGTAAGGAAGTCTATTGATAAATTCATGAACAACTGTTAACCTACTGGTACTATTCATGAATGTTACCACAATTCCTCTTGTGTTGTATGAGACTGACTGCATTACCTAAGATTCAGAAAAATGTTTAAGTGTAAACAATTTTACTTAAATAAATTCATTTTAGTTTCGAGTCCATACAAAGAAACCCTTGAAAATTAATCTGATGCTCGCTAGTAACCGGTTGCAGAACGAAGTTCCCTGGAGTTCTGGTGAGAAGTCATAAATATTGGGGTCCACCTGGTTGAGAGTAAGGGCGATTACTCGCCAGTGATAGTGGTTGGTAATCGCGTTAAAATCACGATTTGGTGGAATATACAATTAATGGGCTGTTGTGTCAGGTCTATGTGGCTTAATAGTCTACAAGCTTGCCTTGCAGTTAGAAGGTCCTCGGTTTGAAACCCCGTGAGTGCATAATGCCGACGAGTCCCAAACTAGGACGCGACAGTTGTCCCGTTCTTTCCAGTTTTCAATGGTTCTCTAACTGATATCAGTTCGTGACCAGACTTGAAACAAATCAAATCTCTACAAAGAAACACTTGAACAATTTTACTTTATTGACAGTTCTTACGCGAAAACTACTTCTGGGAAAATTATGTAACTGTATGTTTAGACCTTGGTTTCCTTTCTTGAACAGTACCATTTCTGCTATTATGTAAAGTTGAAAAATTGTTTGTTTTTCCTTCACGTTCTCCAGTGGAACATAGGGCTTCAAGCTAGACGCTTGAAGTTTCTGTAGCAGTGTTCATTTTTACAGGATGGGTTCCTAGCCTCATGCCCAACCTTCCCTATTTGCCAGCATTATTTCTGGCTCAGAGAGGTGAAGGAGTGCGTCGGTCGCGAATTGAACCCCGGACCGTGTGCATGGTCGGCGAGCATCCTAACCGCTATACCACCGACGCACAAAAGCCGGCAACACCCGGTATTCCCAGCCGGTCACCCATGCAAGTACTAACCGGGCTCAGCATTGCTTAACTTTGGTGATCGGACGAGGACCAGTGATTTCAACGTGGTATGGTCGCCGACAAAGGGCTCACAATTCATCATGAATGAGAATCATGGACTTGCTATATAATATTATAGTTCAAGAAAACTGTTGTCATCATTTTTCTTACTGTCAGCTGTGCCAATCAGCCGTGAGTGAAGTTAGAGAAACACAAAATATTGCCTAATCAAATCATTTTATGCTGAGGTTGTCCACGAAAGACTGATGCAGAAAGGGTTTGACAAAACATTTTTGGTAGCTAGTACCATCTACATAATTGCTTACTAATAGGTACTTTAAATTATCAACAGTGTAAGCCTTTTAGCGAGCTATATCACAATATCGGAAATAATTGGGTGATAATAACTAAATGATGTTGCTTAAAATCGATATTACTGGTGATATGGGTTTCATTCTTGTTTCTCCACCAGCTCAAACAGTTAATCTTTTTATAAGTATAGGTCTTGTATTTATCTTTTGTCAACGCTTTAATTATAAATAAAGCGATTACACATTATTCTGCACTTCTGTCCTAGTTTAAACGATGAGTTTTTGTTTTACCTTAATTACAATTATCTAGGACCTGATTTATCCTGATAAGAAAACATAGTACGACTTCCATTTACAAGATGCCCTTGTCAAAAAACCATTAACATTTCATTCAGTTGGCAAGTTGCAACATACTCCTCTAAATGAGGCTTTGCACAACTCATAAAATAACAGAATAAATCAGCACTATAAATTTTATAACTACGAAGTAACAATGGAAATAATTTAGTTATTATTAACAAAAATCTAGCTGAAAAATGGTCATAGCAAAATATAATTCAACAATTAATGATAGATGAATCCATCTTCCTGTGCTGGAATTTTCAAACAACTGCTACATATATAAAGTACAGCATGTAAATATATTTAAAATTACCCGGGTCACTGCTGCGTATTTTCATCAGTGGATTCACCCGCAAAAGCCACGCTGGAAGTCCACCCTAGGATAAAAAACGTGATCTTTGCTAGTTTCTCAAATTTATGGTCTATTAAATATCATTTATGCCATTTATTCCTAATTTTTACTTACAAAGTCCCACTCAGCACAAATGTAAGGTCCAACTCGAGCTATTACTAGAAGATCTAATGATGATGCCAAGCTTATAAATTCTGTCAGATTTCGATCTCCAGTGAAGTCGAATATGTCCTCTTCAGGCTGGTGAAAATTCCATGGCACATAACTGAAGGAAATTTATATCACAAATGAGACAGTGCATATTTAAAATATCACGAAGTATTTGAGAATAACACAATGTACATAATTAAATTAAATCATTATTTAGAAAAATGTTATTGTCCGTTCATAAAACGTTTTTGAATAAGCAAAACCAAACAACATTTACACGTCTGGATAATTTACAGTTGCTTAACACCAGAGCATCAAAATAAACTTGCCACACCATACGCGAAATAACATGTAGCATTAATAAGATAGCAGACCTTATAAAAGCAATATTTGTGAGATGCCTATTTAGATTTCTATACTTCTTCCTCAGGATAAAAGGGCGAAAATCGCTAAAATAACATTTTAGGGATTTCGGTGAAATTTGAACGGTAAGCGAATATACTACGAGAGTAAACTCTGTACTACTAATCTAAAGTTTCACACCAGATATTTTTAGTTCATAAGAAAAATCTTAAGTATATGAATAACTGTTTACGAATTGTGGAACAACTCAATATTGCAAATTTATATCAATAAAAAGCAAAAGGGAGAAAGGTTTGAAAGAAGTCAGACTAAAAAAAGATCAGTCTGTTACGTAATTACTATTCATGCTGAACTACAAATGAATCTATAGGGTAGTTCACTATTTAGGTAACTGAATTATGGAAACTATAGCAGCTACTTTCAAACTAATCCTGTCATTATGGTAATATTTGCCTCAACGCACTCTTCTGCAGACCACGTCACCTCTTTCTTATATTACTTTAAACCTACTTTTAATCGATTATTCTATGTCAAAACAATCAGCTCTAACAGAAGTATGCAAATAAAACTGAGTTATAAATAGTTACTGCACAATGCTATAATATCTTTTAGGTGATGATGACATGTGTGATAAACTGCGTTAGACCAGAAACATCACTTCTAGAACCGTATTTATTGACTTAATTACATGCACAAGTGTTGTAAGGTCCAAAGAGGATTTTTACTATTTAAGTCCTGAGCGTCGTATATTACTTTACAATAGCATTAGGTCAAAAAATGGATACAAAACACTAGTATTAGGGATTTATACTTACATTTGAATAGCATCCAATCCAGAAGCCTTCATTTTATAAAGTCGATCATGCCAGTAAATTTTCGGAATGCGGGAGTAATGTACACTCCCAGAGATGTATTGGAAAGGTGCACCATCTTTCATGAAAACATGATTTCCGTAGTCTATAGTGAATGAACGTTCTGAGTTGAAGTGCTGTGAATTAAGTTTGCTACAATGACATAAACTGAATACTAGCAATACGAAGATCAGAGGTAAAGGCATTTTGCTGTAAAAGTAAAAATGAAAGAAACCATGGTAACACGATAGTCATACACATGCTAATAGCATACATGAGAAAATATTGGTTCCAAATGCTACTAATAAACCTACTGTGACTCAGATGACACAGCAAGGTTTAATCATCGGAATAATCTGCTCATACACCGAACGAGTTTAAAAATTCTCTGAAGAATGTTATACTATTCAGTTTCTTGGAAGGATATAAACAGCTTAAAGAGTAGAGTAGTCAACTTTCAGATGACATTCAGAGTAGCTGTTCGTTATTAATTGGTTGTGACAAATAATCCTCGACAATGCAGTGACATAGACTTAATCTAGAGTACTGCACTTGAAAATTACTACTGCATGAACCACTCGTGGCTAAAAGCAAAACCTCAACTAGCATTCAGAATGAAGGTACAATGAATGCCATGTTTATGCGAAATTGACAACTTTCGAGAAGTCAATTAGGCACTTTTCCCGAAAAACACGAAATTAACAGGTTTAGAAATTGGTACTACGCTCGAGTGTATTACTCACAGTGGCAATAAAATCGAATTTGTTTCATAATTAAATATCTGTGGTCAATCATGTTTGCCATTTCAAAAGATCGTGTTTATATGTACATCATACCATTAAATTTGTGATTAAACTTCTATTTAGCTGTATTGGATTCACTGAAATTACATGATGTTTTCTGTTTACTGTCCTAGGCTTATACGCCTTAGAGTTCCAATATCCAATATCTAATATCGTTTTTACGAGCTAGTATAAACCAATTTGATTTCTTTGTGCTCGCCTCTTGATTGTGAGGTATAGGTTCTTGATCTTCGGTAAACTTCTGCGTAGCTTGTCCCGCCACTCGACTGTCGTAGCTTTGGTTGACTCCAAAGGGAGTAGTGCTGGGATTAATTATATGTGGTTTGTAGTATGAGGTATGTTAAGACTGTTACTACTGTGATTGGAGTTGATCCTTTCGCCAGTTAGTCCTTCGGTATTGTCGACAAGAGAAAAGAGATAGTAATAATAATAATAATAGTAATAATAATAATAATAATAGATATAATTAGTGAAGCTATTCAGACTAAGAGACAGAAACGAAAATAGGAAACGTAACAACAGTCAGCTCATGAAGTTTGAAGAATAATATATATATCGGTAATAGTAATAATAATAATAGTAATTATAATATTAATAAGTTGTCAGGAGAGTAAGACGGGAGAGAATGTAAAGAAGTAAAATGACGAGTTTAATTATCTACCCTGATTGGTAAATGCGATTTTAAGGAGATAGGCCATTTGGATGCAGTCCTTGTATAGCTGCATGGTTGTCCAGCCTTCGCTTAAAGGCGTCCAAAGACGGTGCCATAGCTACATCTGCCGGTAAGGAATTCCAGGGACGACAAACCCGCAGTGAAAAGAAGTGGGAGCGCACCCGGGTCCTTGCCCTCTGGTGAGCTATCCTTCTGGGATTTCCACGTGGAAGCCTATACCTACTCAATGGCAGAACACCTTTGTTTGGGTGATTCTGGTCATTTGTTATTTTGTAGGCAGTAATCAAATCCCCCCTAAGCCGACGGTAACTAAGTGTGAACAGGCCTAATTTCTTCAGCCTTTCATCATATGGTTTGTTTCGGAGACCAACCACTCCTTTTGTTGCCCGTCGTTGTAAGCATATTGTGTCAGAGTATCTACCTTTTAGAAACTAAGTGACAAAAAATAGTTTCCGGCGAAATAGTAAAGAACCGTTCACATTTACATAATGGGAATCCAGTGGATATAAAACTTATGAGAAAAATCACTAAAATTCATACAGTGGTTTCATCACAGCAATTGCTTTAGGATAACCGTAGAAGCAGCCAAACTATTAGAACTTACCACTGAACATGAAAAACCAATCAGAATTAAGAAACAGTAATGTTTATAAATGAGGAAGCCCCACAGTTGGCCTGAACTAGCAATTCATGACGAAAAAACGCAATGAGCAAATGTAATGCATTTTGATTATTTAAAACAAAACTTCTCCTGGCAATCCAAAAATCATCATTTACGTGAATGGTTTTTCCAGAATGACTATGTTTCAATCTCCTGTGTCTAAATGCCTCTTATAGGTTCCGAGTGTCTTTGGAAATCAAATCTGTAGTAGCGGTAGTTTTACTGGTTTCAGTGTATTCAAACTGATACAAGAGACTGCAGTTTCCAATTTGTCCTTGAGTAGTCTTAATTCTTTCATTGACATGGAGGCTTTCGTCATCACTTATGAATCCAGATCATTACAAACTCATATTCTGAAGACCTAACCATGGAAAACTAATGACCATCCTCATGTCGTATTTCATGGAATCTTATAGTCTTAGATAACTGTCACGAGTATTAGTCTTACGTTTATAGCAGGACCTGCTTCATTCGGTCGCGCTAATGGATGTGATGATGTGCGAAATAAATTTCCATTTCTAGGTGGGATTGAAAATCTATTTTCTGATATCAACTTATTCTTGTAGGCTTATTCTCTGACGAACCATCAGAGAAATTGCAAGCCGAGCCCTTGTTATCCAACATATTGGACTTGCAGCTCTGATATTTTTAAGAACTTCTGTAGGCAATGACAGGAAAAACGTTGGCCCAAGGGTTTGTCAAGAGCACACGAGGAATGTATGCTGCATCACCAGCACTTAGTTTCCGGCGAAATCACCTTGAATCTTTAGAGGGCAGTCAACTGAGATCAGTATACACCATCAAGCCGTCAATAATGGTGTAGCTGTACCTCACGGAAGGGAATCAGAATCTGTGAAAATACATAAGTTCTTTGAATAAATGTGATGAAGAGCAATCAGCATGCTCCTGTGTTTTTCAATACTTAGTGCTTGCGACAGTAGTGCTGGTTTACGCCAAATTTAACAGAGGGATTTATGGCCAAAGGCCTCTGTAATGGTGTCAAGGGACTGGTAGTGAAATCGACAGAAACGAAGTCCCAAAATTCGTATCTGTAACATAAGGCACCGATCTTGACGGAAACCTGAATACCTTTACTGACACCGACCACAAGTGCCATGCCCCTGGTCACACCACAAACCACGAAAAACTCTTCGTGTATGAAGAAAGGCTCTCAGCGTGTTCACCAAGTAAGAGGTAAAGTTCAGTTTACATGGCTACTCTACAAGTATTGCTCAGATTACTCTTCAAGAGTCAGGCTAACCACGGGGCATATCTAGAACCAATGTATTACCTGTGTCTGAAGTGATGGAAGGCCGTTTCCGGGTAATTCTGACAAAATCACGTGCCAAACTCTAAAAGTTCTTACTAGGTTTCGTTGGAGGGAAAACTTACTGACCGATGGTGTGCACTTCAGAAGGCCGAAATGGTCAATATCTCACTGGTTTGGAAGTGGCTGTTATAATGACCAAGGCCTTTGACGTACAACTAAACACCGGTTTGGGTGTTACTGCTCTAAGCCACAAAGGTTGCTCAGCTAACTTACCAAGCGAAAACGTAGTCAGTTCATTAACACTAACAATGAAATCATATCTGATTATCCTGTCACATTTCGGCATCCGAAAGTTCACAGGGTTCTAGTCCATGAATCCTAATGTTTTTGATTTTCATCAGCGATATGCCATGGCGTCTAATTTGCCCACATATTTATACCCATGACGTGAAAATTTTAGAGCAATAGTTTTTGAGAGACTCAGTCAGCTCACAGACAGACCTGGAAACTCGGGAAGACTAGACGCGGTGTAATGGCATATCTTTTTATTTACAAAAAATGCAAACTGGGGGGATTTTTTACCCAGACGCCACATAGAGTATTTACTCATTGCGTGATGAAATCTTGCTCCGTGCAATGTCAGTACGACTGATGTTTCGGTCAAAAGGAAAAAAAGGAGATCAACACGAATCGTCTTCGCGATGAGAGAAAAGCATATGTGGTCCAACCTCGTAGAAATGATCCAAAGATGTGCGCAAAATAGGTGATGGATCTCTGGATTAGACTGTATGGTTGGAGACCGAGGGAAATAGAGGTCTTCACTTTTGGCTGAATTAAACAAAGGGGTAGCTTAGTTGCTGCCTGGAAGATCAAAAAAAGCCCGAGTCACCCAAAGAAAGTATATTGCTATGAGGTTACCACGATAAGAAAGCGAAGCCCGGATTACACTCCCACTTCTTTTCACCCCATTTTCACCATCCATATAGCCATATACCAGAAGTTGTGGCTGCTGCCCCGTCCGTAGAGAGCGGAGTTTGGATTATTATGCAGAAATGGTCTATTGTCTTAAGGCTTGCAAACCATTCAACTGATTACTAATGTATCATCCATAATTACATTTTATACCATTTTGCAGTAAATTTATATAGACTGGGGTACCAAGGAGTGATTCTGCGCTCTGTTTCGAGATGAATAGCTTGATGTCAGAGTATTCTTAGAACTTCTTAGTAATGTGTTCCTGCTACCTGCATAGAATCATGATGATGTACAATACGCCTTTTTACAAGCTGATATTAACTGAAATGCCTTCTTTGAACTTACCACTTGGTTTTCGGACGAAGGTTCACCATCCGTAGTGGACCTCTATGTAGTTTGTCTCGCCGCTTTAGCGCTGTAGCTTTAGCTGGCCCTGACAGGATTGGTGTGGAGATGAGTTTTTTGAGGTTTCCGGTATTAGATGTGCTGTTGCTGTGAATGAAGCTAACTATTTCATATGTCTGCCGAATAGTGGGGTCGTAAAAGAGGATGGTAACTGTAGTAGGTATAACTGTTGAAGATTACCTAGACTCAAAAAGAAAAGCAGGGGAAAGTGGTTATATAATCATACTTAACGATGAGAAACGTAAGTGAATGGACAAACAGTCAGCTGAGTGCTATAATGAATGAATGGGGCCACATGAAAAAATGTACTAGAATGGTAAATTGTTGCCGGAATGGTATGGTATATAGCCACCTAGATATGTTTCTATCGACATTGGTTTCACATATCTTTAACTGCTCCTGTGAGAAACTGGGACAAATTTTTCCATCATTCTCGAGAAATATGCCCAGTACCATTCATTTCTATTGCGTATACATCTTATTAACACACTTTTTATAAACTGAATGCTACTTTTCGTCTCGAAGAATCTGACTGATTCTTTGAAGGCCATCCGAAGTTTTGTCTATTCTCCACTGTTGTTTACCTTGAACTCAGGAATCGATGTAACATACGAGTCCGGAGCGATAGAAGGACATTTCAGGGAGACCTCGCCAATAAGCTTCTCGTGAACCCCAAAAGCCTATACAGGTTTATGTCCGAAAGAAAACCGACCAACCAGGGAGCATGCAATCTAGTGGGTTCTGATGGGAAATCTCTTACTAGTCTTGAAATGGCAGAGACATTCAGCCTAGCCTTTCACAGGCAACTAAACAGTAACGAGGATATTACCCCACAGAACATCCAGATTACATCGCAAAACCAACGCGCGAAAACCTGCTGGGTACATTTCAAATTACCCCGGCTATGGTACTTGCAAAATTGGGAAGGTTGGCTTCGGGAAAGTCTTCAGGTTGTGATGACATCAGACCATCTGTCCTGAAGCAGTGTTCAGAAAGTCTCTGCCAACCCCTAAGTGATCTGTTCCAACACTCCCTTGATGTAGGGAAACTTCCATGTGAATGGAAACGAGCAATCCTATCCCCTATCTTCAAGGGTGGTGACCGGCAGAATGCGACCAGTTACAGACCAGTTGCTCTACTTCCAGTGATATCGAAGATATTGGAAAGTCTCATTGACGACCACATGAGAAAATACTTCGATGGGACTAACCTTCTTCACGAAGCACAGCACGGTTTCAGGAGGGGAAGATCCTGCGTGACGAATCTTCTACTAGCTTGGAACGATTGGACACTATCCTGGGACAAAAAGGTACCAGCCCACGTGATCTTTCTCGACTTTGCGAAAGCATTCGACACAGTTCACCATGGTCTGCTCCTTCACAAAATAAGCAAGGCGGGTGTTTCTGGAGCACTTCTCGCATGGCTGAAGATTACTTAGGCGAGAGAGAATTCTGCACCAAAGTCAACCGCATCCGATCATCCTGGCACACCTCGGCATCAGGGGTTCCTCAGGGTTCTATCCTAGGGCCGTTGATGTTTTTGATTTTTATCAACGACCTGCCCCCCAACTAAACTGCTCTGCGCTTCTTTACGCTGACGACGTAAAGATTTGGAGAGCAATAAACTCATCGGAAGACTCAGATAGATTGCAGGCTGACCTGCAAACTCTGGGAAACTGGGCTCTGGCTAACGGAATGCCTTTCAACCTAAAGAAGTGCAAAGTAGTGCAACTTCATTCCGGCAGGTCACAGAGTGTAAATTACACCCTTGGTGGCCAGAACTTGAGTTGTGTTCCATCAGAGCGCGATCTAGGTCTTATTCTAACAGAAAAGCTAGACACCAGTGGAAATTACTCGAGGGACGTCGCCAAAGCCTACGCAACTCTACACTTTATGCATAGGCAGCTGGGAGCTCTCACTCCCGAACTGTTCTTAAGGTCATATAAGGCATATGTGAGGCCACACCTTGAGGTGCATAATATCATTGCACCTCCGCTACTCAAAAGGGATGCTAACATTCTAGAAAGTGTCCAGAGACGAGCGACAAAATGGGTGATCGGCCTCCGCAACAAATCATATGAGGAAAGACTAAAGAAATTAGGTCTTTTCACACTTAGTTACCGTAGGCACAGGGGAGACCTCATCACCGTCTACCAGATCCTAAATGACCAGGCCCACCCAAATAAAAGCATCCTGCCATTAAGTGATTATAGGCTTCCACGAGGTAACCCGCTAAGGATAGCACACCAGAGACCAAAGACTCGAGTGCGATCACATTTCTTTTCGCTTCGTGTTTGCCGTCTCTGGAACGCTTTACCGGCGGCCGTGACTACAGCGCCATCTCTGGAGATTTTTAAGCGGAAGCTAGACAATCATGCAGAAATGCAAGGTTTGTGTCTCAATGGCTTATCCTCATAAAACTTGAAACCACACTGTCAACGGATAAGCGTACAAACTAAATCCCCACGACCTATTCTGCCTTCTCTCACTCTATCTTTTCCTTAGGTCACCTTTATTATTCCACTTATCTCAACCTATATTATCTACACTACAACCTACTATTATATTATTATTAATACTATTCTGCTTTTATGACTACACCGAATGACCAACGGGAGTTAGGTCAAACTCCATTCACGGCAGCAATACAGTCCTAACATACTGCATACTACAAACCACATCTCGACCAATCCCCGCACCACTCCTCCTGGAGTCTACCAGAGCTAAAGCAGTCGAGTGTCGGGACTTACTACGCAGAAGCTCACCGAAGATCTGGAACCTCTACCTCACAATCAAGAAGCGAGCTCAAAGAAATCGCTGGTTTACACTAGCTCGTAATCACGATATTGGATATTGGATACTGTTGCCCTTAATCCGAACGAATCAATTTGGTTTCATTCGCTACACTCAAGGTTATCAAGAGCGACCTCATGAGGGAGGAGATTTGAAAATGTGGTTCCTAAGTATTTTGGAGGGGTTCGCCCTCATTATTTTGACCTCTGTAATATATTACAATTCTCTTGGCTGTGGTTTTGTATTCGACGATGTTTCAGCTGTTAGAGACAATCAGGACTTGCGTCCGTCTACAAGCTTGCTTGAAATTTTTAAAAATGACTTTTGGGGAACTCCTATGACTGAGGTTAGCTAATTCCCGTGATGTATTTATTATAATAGGAAAGGAGTCACAAGTCGTACAGACCATTTACTGTCCTAACATTCAAAGCCAACTTTTTGTTACATGAGCTGAATCCGTTTGGTTATCATGCAGTTAATATTCTCCTTCACACCATTGTTGTACTTTTGTTTTACAAGTATCTTCCCTCTTCAAAGTTAACCCTATAGATTGTGTTTGTGCTACCTACACAAGGAGGCAGCATTGTTGAGTGCTATGCTTTTCTCAGCCCATCCTGTTCATACAGAAGCCGTAAGCATATTCTTTCTTTATGAGAAGTTTTTAGGTAACTGGTGTTGTTGGGAGAGCTGAACTTCTCTCCTCAGTTATGTTTCTGTCTGCTGTTTTGCTATATATGGGTGCACTGGACAAATGCCATAGTCCAAGTAAGACTTCTCATTCGCATTCGTTTACCTTTTATCAATTCTTTTGAGTCAATTTTAAGCTTTTGTTAGTAAGATGTCATAATAAACATGTTCTCTAGGACCCATTCTCTGTTTTCTCATGTGAAATTCCATTCACTTTTAAGTAGTATGATTAGTGATTGGAGTTTTTCGGTAGATACAGCTGCATTTTAATTTGAAGGAAATTAGTTATGCACAGTCATAATCACTCATTATGTTTTGTTAAATTTTCATTGCCTTATTAGTATTTCTATTTAAGTCAATGTGCAGGCCATATGATGAGTACTATCTTTCTGCGTTTATATGGAAATTGTTCGGGAAAGGTTCAGCAAGCAGGCAATATTCATATGCATCCATTATAGATAAGATTTTATTTCGATAAATCACAGTTTCTATTTAAAGAAGACATTCGTATTTTCATTCGTTCACTTGATATTGAATATTATCATTGCAACCTAGTCCTCGAGAAAATTTTTATGTATTTTCACAGGTTTTTGGGTAGATATCGTCAATATCCTGATAGTTGGCTTCTTAATATGTGTTGGGACATTCTCCAAAGAACAATGCATTACAGTTTTTGGCGTTTTCGTTGCTTATGAACTTTTCAAAGTTTATCAAGTAAGCTTTTGAAAGAGTACACTTACCTTTCCAGAAAACTTTGTCATGTGGAATTGTACTTTGGTTTCCTAGTTTCAAGAAAAAGACTTCTCAAAAGACCGGGGCATTTAAGGAAATTATACCTCGCGCTCACAGACTACTTCAGTTAAATTTATCCATTCCTTCATGGACCTCTTATGCCCCTGTCTACAGGATTTTTATCCTGTTTCTGTTCGTCATTGCTGTTATGTTTGCACGTATACGTATAATGGGTGGACAACTACCACATTTTACAGAGTAGGTGACAACTTTAAATACTAAAATATTTGCTTTACTTTTCCCATATGTAGTCGTGACTTATTAGTGTGTTTTTCATCTTGTATTAACTGACTAATATTGTAGTTTCGGTAATAACTGTTTCTTCTGATCAGTCTTTATCAACTACTGCACTCTCAGAATCAGTCGAGTATTTAATTGCATATGTTGTTTATTGTTCGCGGTTCATTGAGAGAACTGAACTTGTAACTAAGTATTTTTAGATTGGAACGAATATAGATTATAGTGTGAATTTTATTTGGACACCTCAAATTAAAATTAAAAATTAATGAATGAACTCGCTTTTATGGTAATTCATATCGTCTGTTTGGTGTCGTATAGTTGTTTATATAAAAAAGTACTTAAAAACAAAAAAAATTGTCTTTCTTTGTCGCCCTAATGTATCAGTAAATTTAGGTTGTCTTACTTTTCACGCGTTCTGAATAATTGCCTAAGATAAGTATATCCGAAACAAATATGACAATCGTTTGCGTTTGCTACTTTATATTGTCCTTTACAACTTGACTTTTAATAAGCACCATTTCCAGAATACGTGGGTGTTTTCATAAAGCAGCTTAGTTTGCTTGATATCCCATAATACTTTAACTTCCATTCCTGTTAGTTGACAGTTCGTCGGAAACAACTAATGATAGTCATGTGCTCTAAGTAGTCAACGAACTCTATTTGTTGATGCAAACTGAATTGTGTCCTACGCGTATTATTACTCACAGTGCAAGCATCACTTTGTAACTTAGTTACTGGTAATCAGGTATCCACATACTATCTTCTCTGTAGCTTATGAAAATAAAAATAGCATTATTATGTTATGTCTCTACTGTTACTTATATTTGCTTTACAAGTTTTTTTTATATGTAGAGTATCTTGTGAATATATTTCATGTATGAAACTACTGCTATTAAATAAGTTTCGAAATTGATAACATTGATTTCATTTGTAGATTTGATAATCCAGCTGCACACGCGCCCCGCTGATTCGCCGTCTCACTCATCTGTATTTGATTCCTGTAAATCTTGGTCTCTTGATATTACCGTCAAACCTTTGTGCTGACTGGACTTTGGGAAGTCTTAAACTCATTGATGGTTGGACAGATGCACGTAATATTTTGACGCTAATTGCTTTTGGTTTCATTTCCTTACTTGCATTAATCTCTCTCAGTTGGAAAACACCCTCAAGTCAAAGTAAAACCATATTTATGGTATGCTTATTTAAAAATATTTTGTATATTGTTATTGTATCATGTGTCTGAAGGAAATAGAGGAACTCCCTTCTCTCGTACACTTGTTTGTAAGGAGAATTCATGGATCCCCGTAGAGTTTGTATGTATGTTAAATTATTTACTTAATATAGTGCACAAAGATATGGCATTATTTACTGATGATGAAAACACAGTTTTCCGTTAGTGGTGATAATATTTCTCACTTACCTACAAATACTGTTAATTCATTTATTTTATAAAGATTAGGCGTTAGTTCTGTGAAGAGACTTATTGAGATCAGCGCTTAAAATGCTTAGTAGGAATAAAACATCGTGTGCTATATTAAATAAAGCAATTCAATACTGGTATACCATTCAGCTACTTTCCGTTTGTACATGCTTTTAGGTCTTTAATTCTATTGGTATTATTTATCTTGCGTATTACTCTAGAAGTATCAATATATTTTTGTGATAAGCTTGATAGTATATAATCTCTTCCCATATACCTATTTATAATACACATTATACAATTCAGTTTTCAGTAATACTTACATTTATATCAAATTAACATTAGATCAGATATATTGTTTTAAATGCATCACAGTCTTGAACCTTTTTGCCTATAAACTTGAGTTTAAGTCATCCGACAATCTATAATATATTGGTCTGGTTAATAAGATTCTCATTACCTTCCTTTGAATTTTGGATTCACTCTGTTAGAGGTAAGTTTATTTGAATTAAAGGATAAGAACAATCACTTTGTGCATTTATGCGTAGCGTCTTAGTTTGGTGTCACAGCCTTCGATTAATGAGGATGTTGTGACTTGTAGCTGTAAAAGAGGGAGATATGTGGAGCTTCCCGTCGGGTTTCGAAGCCTTTGCTGCGTTGGTTAGTATCCAGGGTCTGATGGTGGAGACAGCGGTGCTTGAGACGCTGCTGATGGGTTGCTCAAACGCCGTTACATTGGTACTCATAAAAGATTCGCAAGCTGTATAACTCTGGTCGTCTCTTCTGTATGGTACAATTATTGACGGTCAGATGTACGCAGATATCGAAATGTCTGTGCTCTGCAACAACATTTCTGGTGGAGTATTAGCAGTTTTTATAATATTGTCTTATTGATCATTGAAGGCTATGTTGATAAGTACCAAGCGGCACAGTGTATTTTATTCAGCCGCAGTATTTTAATTCAAAAATAATTTTCGGGAGTTTGAGTAATTCATACCGTAGATAGTGTTTGTTTACCAAGATGGAGCATGCGCTTCACGAATTTAATGCCATTAGTTAGGAATTCACTAACCATCAAGTGTTTCTAAAGGATGTATGGTTTTAGGATTATAATTGTATTTCGAAAATGATCCTAGAATTTTCATCACTCCAATTTACTGGTCACATTTACCAAAAATAAAGAAGGTGACCGCATTTAATATAGTTGTTTTTGTTTCCCTAAAGTCTACCAATCGTCAGTTAAGATCACAAATAAGTATTTTGTATCATCAACCTCAGTAAAGTTACTCACTTGTGCTCTTTTGTTAGATAATCCGCACACTGTTACCATCAGTAAATTAATGTTTTCAATTTCTTTCCTTTGTGTAGGCACTAAGTCTGATGGTGTTCCCTTTTATTCCAGCTAGTAATTTATTCTTCCCTGTTGGCTTCGTTGTTGCTGAACGGGTTTTGTACACACCAAGTCTCGGTTTTTGTTTACTTATCGGATTGGGTTATGACAATTTGACTGGCTCCACCTCTTTTCAAACAAAGAACATGGCTCAACCAAGGCCACTGGAAACGAAGAAAATGCACAGGTAAAGTCCATCTAATGACTAAATAATGCTTCAACCTGAACATTCAGTAATAATTATAAACCAACAGATTAATTTTCTTGTGGTTCCATATCCGTGTAAAAGTCACTCCAGTCATGTTTTCATTTAAGTAATTTATAAGGTAGTTCATGGATTTCAATCGTTAGCTTTAAAAAACTTATGTCACTTTGTAGGATTTTGGAAATTAGGTAGGACTTATAAATTAATATGTCCTAGTCTTGGGTCCTCGTAATATGCTCGTTGAAGTTCTCTAAATATTAAAACGAATACAAAGAAAAGTTTGGAAATTTAACAAACAAATATCGAGTATTTTCTGGTTCCTAAAGATTCATTTATTGTACTGACCATAATATCTATCGTAATTATCTTAAAATCTACATAAATGAATGGTGGAGTTTTGCAATTATTAGTGTATCTTATTTCCTACTTCCGTGATGTCAAAATAACTTATGAATCCTACTCATTTCCATTAAATTATACAAGTTTTTTGAAATGTTTGTCTGTTTCAATATCGATTATGTTTCGCAAATTTTCCACTAGTCATTTTCTCCAACACACGAAGATGCTTTAATTTCTTTAAGTTATATTTAGTGTAGCTTTCTTAAACACAGAGTACAACTCTTATAGATGATGTTTGGCATATCAACTGTGTGTACCAAACTTTTCCGAATATTTTGCTCTTCTGTATGAGATTTTAAATCTTTTTAAAGATGATTGGGTTCATATTCCTTAATAATATGTACTCCTGTATGCAATTTTTTTCCTTTACGTTCCACAGTGGAACATAGGGCTTCAAGCCAGTGAGTCGGTCGAGGATCGAACCCCGGACCATGTGGATGGTCGGCGAGCGTCCTAACCCTGTATGCAGTAGTTATTATTTATTGAAATATTTCCTGAGGTTTTGAGTAAACACTTCAGTGGAATCGTTTCTGAAGTAAAATATAAACCAACATTCAACAGAATGTTGTTTTATACATTTGTAGAGTGTGGGGTAAGAAAAATGACAAGTCAGTTCAAGGTTATAAAACGTGTCACGTGAGGGGCTAGTACAAAGTGGTCTGTATTAAACAGGAGATGGTAGGATTGCAATGAGAGGCTGTTCATAATGAAATAACGAATGTGTGAAATGAAACAGGTGGAGGCATATGTTGAGAAAAGAGGTAATATCACTAATAATAAATCCGGATAGTATAAATGAAAAATTCGATAGTATTGAGAGAATGTTTTCATGAAGGGTATAAATTATGACGAATAATAATATTTTTAATGATGATAATTGTAATAATAAGCAAAGGAAAAAAAGCCAAGAGGGTTAAGGGGAAGAAGCACTCTTGGTGAGAAGAAGAATCATCAATCCAAGTTTGGCCACGATAGGAACAGCGTCTGGACGTGTTCTTTTTGGATGCAAAGTTCCGGTTTAGTCGATCTTATTGCAACAGCTTCAGCTATTTATAGGAGACGTAAGCTAACACGTCAATTTTCCTACCCCACACTCCACAAATGTATTATGACTAATCACCACCATTGTCTCCCATTTTACAATATTTTGTAATTGATTTCAGCCTAGCACGTTTGTCACACAAATAATGTTGTTTGCACTTTGTTAATATTTCTATAGACAAATACTACTGCTGAGATAAATTCCAGAAACTTTACTTCACATGTACTATTTTCACAAATGATTTTGTAGATAAAAGTATTTCATTGTCATTTGTCTTTTAGTTCTAAACGTAATATTCATTATCGAAAATATTCACGAATGCTAATGGGACTGGTGATCGGTGCGTTTGTGTGTAAAACTGTCCACCGGAACAATGACTGGTATGTTTCACTGAATATATAACTCTACAGTATGTATTACTTACACTTTCTTTCGTTTGGAACCGAGGTCATCAGCGGTGTACGCGGTTCAATTCAACTCAGAGCGTCGAATCAGTTCAAATCAACAGATTGTGATCTGAATAACTTGGTTTACAAAGGAAATTACGGTGAAATTTCACCATTCGAACTGTGTAGATTGTAAACTGCTAACTGATTCGCAAATTATCAATTTGGTTTGTGGTATGACCAGGTCGAACAAGTAGCTAGCTAGAAATTGTGTGGTTTGAACTGATTTGGCTCTCTGAGTTGAGTTAGAACGCGTACACTGCTGATGAGCTCGGCCTCAAACGAGAGAAACGACCGTCCGGTGTTTGGGTCACCTCGACCTGGATAACAAGCACCACCACTGGCTGATATCGGTTATATACAACTACCCATCTCAATTAATCAGTGGTATGTATCAAGTGAATCTTCTGAAAAAGCTCCAGTCGAGTTTACTAAAAAACAAAGTGATTTAACACATTCTATTGATATCTTACGGTTTTTCTAGTAAGAATATTCAATTCCTTCTGAATATACAGGTCAGAAAGCTTGGAATGTTAGTGAGCACAAAATTGCATCAGTTTTTATGCTGTTTCTTTCTGACTTCCAGAGTACAAAGCATTAGACTGCCTTAACCTCACCAGTTAGGTGGTTGTAGACATTGTCAGCATTATCATGAAATAAAATCCTAGATGCGTTATTTAAACATCCGATGAACTTTTAATAAGGTATGTACCTGAGACCCTTTCCTGGTTTTGAAGTAACTAGGTTGTTATTTTCCGTATTATGCGGGACTGGGATGAATAAAAAGTGTGTTCGGCCATCTATATATAGTAATGCATCGTTTATACTAGACTGGGACACATTAATCAAACCCCACTACTAAAATCACTTCTCCAGTATTCGAGATAACTTGTTTCAATTGTATAGGCATTTGAAAGCTGTTAATGTGATTCCTCGTACAAACAAAAATATGATAACGCGTAAAGGCTTTTGATGTTTAGTTTGTAAATTCTTTCTTTTGAATACCAGTTGTTTTCTAAAAAATGTCACTTTTGACTGAAAACTTTAATGTACTTTTATGTTGTATATAGGACTAACGAATACAGTCTATTTACCTCAGCTCTTAAAGTCAATCCAAACAATGCCAAAATGTGGAATAATGTAGGTCATTCTTTAGAAGCTGAAGGAAAATTCTCTGAAGCACTTGGCTATTTCAGAAAAGCCGTCGAGTATGTTTAACTCTGTCTGATCTTCGTTCTCTTATGTACTATTGTTGTTGTTTTTTTCTCCAAATTTAAACTGTCAATTTTTTCATTGTTTAAGTTAATCGAGAAAGCTGCTTTTCGCGTCGTGAAGTAATGTTTTATTTAAAGAACATTTGTTTCTAGTTTTCGACAGGTATCAAGTAGTGTGTACATAACATATCTTTGAACCACTTAATACTGGTCAGCATTTTTAATTCGAAATATAGTTAGAGACATACTTAATCAGTTTCCTTCGAAATTCTGTGGAAATGAATTTATAATTCTGAAAGGTAGGAAGGTAGGTAACCGTACATTAATTTCATAGATGTGTTAACTTTCTTCAAACCTTGTATATGTCTGGTCAATCGGTAATCGTATTTTGTAGATGCTTTCTCATTCTGAATTAATAGCATGTTAATCTATAGGTTAGTTTGTACTTACTCTATAAGACATCCTGTTTCATATGATATCCATTGATCACTGTATCACTATGCGTCGGTGGCGTAGCGGTTAGGACGCTCGCCGACCATCCACATGGTCCTGGGTTCGATTTCCAGCCGACGCACTCCTTTACCTCGCTAAGCCAGAAATAAAGCTCGTAAAGAGGAAAAGGATGGGCATGAAGCTAGCAACCCGATCCTGTAAAAATAAACACTGCTACAGAAACTTCAAGCCACTAGCTTGAAGCCCTATGTTCCACTGGGGAACGTGAAGGAATAAAAAAACTGTGTCACCAGACTGATAACATCGATTTCTAAACAATAATAGATTACTCATTATAATAAAGGGTCTTGTATTTCCCAATGAAAAACTAATGAACCGTCACCGATGTGTTAGTAGTAGTGGTTTAACTTTCAGTTGCTGTGCAGTTGAATTCTCCAACTTTCTGTTCGCAGCTTTGAAGCGTGAGTAACGATGCGTTTGTTTGTAACTTAGCGGGAATGCTACACTGCACTCAAACTGCCCTCTTTTCCGGCATTATTACCCCCTTGTAAATTAGGCGAGGTTTCTGTATGTTGCTTAGTTTCTAGATCCAATAAGTCGCAGACATAATCCGATAATACACCACTACTGACTGCTATTTACATCCTAGATACTAGTAATCAATGAGTCCCAACCTAAACATCCAGTAGTCTTCTAAATGGCACATATTCAGCCTATGTGAACTGTTTTTTAAAACACTGGTAAAAGCAGCTATCTTTTGTCAATACAAATCCCTGCATATTTCTGTACTATCATGTTAACCTAGGGTCGGTTCATTTATTTGTTCATATCAGAATAGTCAGTTAGTTGTTATAAAGTTTATTTTCTATGCAGTTGAACAGTTGTAGGTTTTGCTTCATTTGAAATTTCATTTCAGCGATTAATTAAATGAGGTAAGCAGAAGAGACGAAGTTGTTATCTTATTTGTTTTCCTGTTATTTTGTAGAAGGCAGTTATACTAATCACTATTTTTTTTTCTTAAAAAAGAACAACTAATGTTTTCACTTCTGGTTCTATTCTTCTTTTTTTTTTACTACTGCGCACACGTTTTTATGTGTATGATAAATTGCTATAATTGAGGCGGACTGGCGAGTTAACGTCTTTTGTTGATTTGTGAGTCTAATGCTTGTTGTTCAAATCAGGAATGTGATAGTGCTGAAATCAACTTTGATTTAAACAGCGATCGTTATCACTTCACTGTGTTTTGTCTCACTTGAGATCCAGAAATAAGTTTCAGGATTTCATCATGAGCTGATATTAGTTAGAGAACCATGATGAAATCCTGAAACCAATCAAATCACTACAAACCAACACCAGAAATAAGTATTTACTGTGCGTCGGTGGCACAGTTATTAGGACTCTCGCCGACCATGCACATGGTCCGGGGTTCGAGCCCGCACCGACGCACATCTGATATCTATGGTCGGCTTGCAAAATTTGGGCTACCGATATCCATGCTGAAAATTCCATACTTGTACCAAAAATACGCTGTGGAATCAAGCTGTAAATCAAAAAAATAATAATAATAAGTAACCGATTGAGTGAGCAGTATTATTATTATTATTAAACATGCACAAAAGCTTCGTAAATTATTTCTAAGTTAAATCAACTATATATGCACTGATGCTTCTTTACTGACTAGGCAATGCATATATAAAGGCAGTCAGAATAACTTTAATGAAAGTCTAGCTTCGAGACTAAGCTAGATAGCATATGATAGAGAGATTGTAAGGCAACTTATAGTAAAATCTTACTTTAACATGGCTTATCTTCTGCTTACATCATATTTCTACGCTTCGGTTTGTAGTGTTGCATCCAACTAGGCGAGGGATGAGGTGGAAGAAGGCGTATGCCACTGTTTCGTTAACCACCACTCAAATCAAGTTTGGTCAATACGATAAATAAAATAGTAAACAAGGCCGTTTATTGGGAAAGAAGAACAGCAAGCTAGCACCATAAGTATATACAATGTAGTTACTTTGACGGTAAACTTTTCAGATAATACGAAAAGTTCTGGAACAAATTACTCGTAAATGATTGGTGTTTGTATTATAATGGCGACAGGGACTGAAAGCCGTGATCATTTGCGTCATTTGTTACTTAGTGTCATTCAAAAGAAACGGAGTTTTCATCTACTGACAAAAACAATTTTCGAACAGACAAAACAGCCCAAGTGTTTTTCAGTTTGCTGAGGCTATCAGAATCAAAGAACTGAAGCTTGAACTATTTGTTCTCTCCTTAATAACTCTTTGTCTTCTGATTTTATCATTTCGTTTTCCCTCCGATTTTCTATTTTTACTTTATTTTCATATCAGACTTGATTATGATCCTTTGAAGACTAATCACTGTATTACCTTATCATCTCACTCGAATTCGTACACATCACACACACACACACATTTTGATTTTCCAAACTTATGGGTTCTAATCACTGTTTTTTTCATTATCTCTGATTGCGCAATTATCATTGACTTATAATCGCCCTAACAACAAATTTGTTCATTTTTACGAGAAACGTCGCTCATATATATATATATATATATATATATATAACCTTATCATCCGTGTGTTTTGTTTCATTACGACTGTCACAACAGTCTTTGCTGGGGGACTGATTCATGATTATGAACAAAATGTTATTCTAAAATTGTAGTATAACTTGTTTTATCAAACGTTAGAGATTGTACTCAGCTGACGAGAACCGATGGAACTAAATGGATTCATGTTATTCTTCACCAATGTTCTATATCTGTTCAGGTTTCTATATAGTTAGTGGGTTTCAAATGCACTACATTTTATCATTTGTTCTATGAAGTTGTGTTGCACAACTCCATAAAAGTTCCATTTTGGTGACAGTCACTTCATAACGTCTAGTGTATTCCTATGGCTGAATCTTGATTCGAATGTTAGCAAATGTCTTAAAAATAACTGTAACGGTTTATAAAGAGAGTTGTTGATAGTGAAAAAAACCTTCTTTGCAGTTCTCTGCAATTTTCAATGCTTACTACTTAATTTGAACTGTGTGGGGTTGGTGAAAATTGTTCAGCGAATCAGGCGCTCCATAGTTCATGTGCGTCGGTGGCACAGTGGTTAGGACTCTCGCCGACCATACACATGGTCCGAGGTTCGATCCCCCGCCGATGCACATCTGATATCTATGGTCGGTCTGCAAAATTAGGGCTACTGATATCACGTGCTGAAAATTCCATACTTGTGCCAAAAATACAGTGTGAAATCAAGCTGTAATCAAAAATAAAATAAAAAATGTGATGAAGTTAAAATCAGAGTTGTCTATCCTCATGCAATTCTGTCATAAATCTAACTTTATTTTTCTATGTACACATATCATATTTATCATCACATTAATACATTCACATCACTAATATCCTAACAATCGCAAATTTCTTCGCAATTTATTAGATGGTTTTTTATGTTATCTAATTTTACTGGACATATACCTATGGTCATTCAGCTAAACGTTTCTTTTTTAACCGTGTACATATGTTCCAGTGTTCAGCCGAATGATATGGGTGCGCGGATTAATGTTGGCCGTACATACGTGAATCTAGGAATGCTAGACAAAGCAGAGGAAGCATACTATGGTGCATTAGAATATTTTCCGAAACCGAGGAAAGGTAATTTTTACTTTGGTAACATTAATGAAAAATAAAAGTTGACATGTGAACACCACACTGTTGTCATTTAGACAGGTTTTGAGCAAATTACATTCGTTCTAGAGAATACTTCATTTGTAAATTAAAGAGATGAATCTTTCTGGCAGCTTGGTAAACAACAACTCTAGTCCTCTGTCGTCAGATGTGAGAATTTGTTTGTGGTTGGTATTTGGCGTTATAACTTTCTGCACTGCTCATCTGAAAGTGTTTTATTCAGTCTGTATCCATCTTCTTCACAGCTATGAATTATTGTTTAGAATAAGGATAATGAGGCGTTGTCCGCCTCAACTGTGGGAAGTTTAATCAGTTTGCCCCTAAATATAACAATTTGATAATTGTTCTTGCATGGATGACTCTAATGCCTGATGCTAATTTTTGCGAACTAACTATTCCGACTTCATTGTGGTGTACAGGTAGGTTTTCAATGCAGAGCTGTACTTGTTGGTGCGTTGATTTACATTTCCTTGTGATATCAACGTCTTGTAGCATAATAATGATTACTCTAACCAGCAGTAGTTTCTAATAACTGCCTAGAATGATTATGATTTAGAGTAAGACATACGCTGTATCATTCATGACTCCTTAGGATTCTTAGCTAGCGCATTTGACTCCTATTAAAAAGCGCTTTTTTAGCGTACGCTGTAATACCACTGACTTCACGATTCATACTCGTCAGAAAATATCTCTAAATAAACCTGGAGTCATCAAAACAACTTGATTAAGTTTTTGGAAACATCACTGATGATCTACTGGTGAATAATTTATTGACAGAGTTTACGTGCTAAAGGTATTTTCATGCGTATACAAGCATGATGAACTAATAAAGTAACAAAAAGCGTTGGCTAGCGGGTGATGGAGATTGTACAAGTCTTTCTTTAGTATTGATAATCTTAATTATATTTTAAACACAAGCATTTTTATTCAAGTATTGGTTTGTAGAGATTTGGTTGATTGGTTACAGGATTTCATCGTGAGCTGACATTGGTTAGAGAACCATTGGAAAACCTGGGAGTACTGGACAGCTGTTTCGTCCTAGTTTGGGACTCTTCAACAGTACGCATCCACCGGGATTCGAACCTAGGACCTCCTGGTTACAAGGCGAGCTCGTAGACCATTAAGCCACTGGGACCCGATCCAATGACCCATGAATTCTAACTTCTGCCAATTCACGACATAGCGCAACCGCTAGCCAATGTCTTCTGTGGCGAGTATTTGTCCTCACACCCGACCTGCTGCACCCTATTGGAATTCATTGGCTATTGGATCGGGTCCCAGTGGCTTAATGGTCTACGAGCTCACCTTGTAACCAGGAGGTCCTGGGTTCGAATCCCAGTGTGTGCGTACTGCTGAAGAGTCCCAAACTAGGACGTAGGAAACAGCTGTCCAGTACTCCCAGGTTTTCCAATGGTTCTCTAACCAACGTCAACTCATGATGAAATCCTGTAACAAGTATTTTTCTTGACAGTTCTTAATATATATATATATATATATATATATATATATACATTCCTATATTTCAGGTCAAACATACTACGCTCGTGTTTCTCCCAAGGATCTCATGGTCTTTATTAATCTTGCTAACCTGTATATCAATAAGTCACCACCGAGGCTTGAAGATGCTGCTGCTCTTCTGAGTCGAGCTATTTCATTACGATCGGATTTTGTAGACGCCTATCAGAACTATGGTAGTGTATTGATCAAATTAGGAAAGTGAGTTACTTCTCATTGCTATGAGTGGTGTAACGACCGTTCTGTGTTTTAGGTACTGTTTTCTTTTAAAACTAGGTTCAGAAAAGTTTATGTATACAGTAAGTTACTTAGTGCTTATTTATCCACAAAATTACCAGTCATACGCATATGACTCTGTTAATAGTAATAGAAATGCCCTGTGGCATTCTGTCTAATCTGTAATCAATTACTATACAAAATGTATATCTTAACTGTGAAAGGTAGTCAAAAGATGACTGAAATTCTCTGAACCCTGTTAAATTCATTTGTTTTTTACATACTACTGAGACTAGAATATAAAACCATGGAAGTATACACCTGTTAAACTATCTGTACCTGAGTTGACAGGTAAATACATCTTTTGAGTAACCTTTTTTCCTATAATAAACCGACATCATTACCGCATCATTCCACAGTTAACAGTCTGATTAGTAGTCTTTTTTTTTACTTACACAAATAGATCAAAACAGGATACAACTTTTCAAAGTTAATCAGGTAAATAATGGTGAATGCCATATTCGTGCATTGGTGGTTTGCTTGTAGAATACTCGTCATCCATACACGTGGTCTGAGGTTCGATTTCCGACCGATGCACTCTTCTTACCTCACTTAGAGGGTAGTAGGTTTAGTAAAGAGGAAAGGTTGGATGTGAGTCCAGCAACCTCTTCCCATAAAGGTATTACTTGCTATTGGGAACTTCAAAGCTCAAGCTTGAAGCCATATGTTCCACTGGAAACGCAAATGAATAAAATACAATGAATTTTTATTTACTTGAGAATGTAGTTCTGAAATGGATTTGTTGTATACTGAACTCAGTCAGGTTGTTTACTTATTAACATTGCAGAAGTAGATACCTAATGGATAAAATTTCCAGTACAGTCTTAACTTACTTTTGACAAATCCCATAGAAATCGAGTAGGAGCAATATTAATGTGACATAAAATTTCTATTCGAATAAAATGTGTGTACTCGTTTGGTGTTTGGTTGATGAGTTCTAATTTTCTCCTCCCCTGCCGCCCCCCCCCTTTAAATAAGCACTTTGTAAAAACTAAGCCAGTTTTGAAGTAATTTTGTGAACGCGAACTTAAAGAAAAAAACTACATAACACTGAAAACTTTTTGACTGCCTTACCTGAAGCCCATATTGTATTACAGTATTCCAGATCTTATATTGTAGATAATGTACTTCTTCCCTCAAATTACATGTGTTGTTTACCTAATGGTTAGGTGTTTGTGAAATTGACAGTTTTTTTTTAGAGTTAAGGTAGGTGTAGCTTATTTAGTAAATTAGAACATTTTTAAATCATTGTCTGCTTTTATTTCACTTCTTTACACTGGCATTATTTTCTGCACTACTTAAATCTTAGGTATAAAGAAGCTGAAAAGGCGTATAGACAGGCTTTAATTTACCAGCCGAAAAATGCAGACTTAAATTATAATGTAAGTATTAGTTTAATTTGATGAAACATTCTTGTGTAACAGTTGTACGTTACCCACCATTATATAAATCTTTCTCTTGAAACGCTGTTCATTGTCTATGAGAGTACTCATATTTGCTATGCTTAAGCAGAAGATAGCATGAATTACGCGGCAATAAAAGACTTCTAGTTTATTGTAAAACTGAAGTTAATACCAAACAGTGAATGAACTCAATAATTAATCCCATGTATGATGATTCTGATCTACCAAGGGTGTTTACTGATGCATTAGTAACTTTGGCCGTTCATCACCTTAATCTAATCCAACTATTACGCAATCATCTGTCAATTCTTATTAAATTTAGTACAACTGGACTCATTCACATTAAATACAGAAGTTACATTTACAGCGAAGGAAGAATTCCCCGAAAACGAAATGAGAGATAGAAATGTCATATGCCACTTAACTTATACAAATTAAATCTGAAGAAGCGCAAATGCCTTTTCTCCATTTAAGACATTTTCATGTTGATAATACATAATGCTAATATAAGGAAGCGGTTTATGCATACTAACAGATGCATTTTACTAACCTAGGGATTTTACTGAGAAACATTAGGTAACTACTTCAGTCACAGTTGATGTTAGGTGTACAGTATACGGTAAGGAGCGGAAGTTAGTCAGAGGTTGTGTAGCTGCATCGATTGACATGGCTAGATCACGTTTGTGTATTTCAAACCACCACCTTCTATGTCGAACACATGTTAGCTAATATAGAATTTGGTTGTAAGATAGTTCAGTTTGGTAGAAGAGAAGCATGATAATAATCGATGAAGTTTGATTGTAGGCATGGGCTACGTAGGGAAGTGCTGACTGCAAGTACAGGGGCAGTGAAGAGCTGAGAATCAGTGGCTGCAAACGTAGTGATATGACTTAAGATTCTTTTGCATGGTGTAGATGTACTGACTTTTTATGAACTCCCGGATTAGTAAAATTCCCATTACTCTCCGTGTACTCATTCTTCCTCCACATTTCCCTTCACTGCTGTTCTGTTGCTTTGCGTGTTTTCTTCTACATTAGTGAGGTTATGAAATATAGTAGCTTGAACTGCCGAACTTTTGTACAAAATCCTACGTTGGAACTCAGGGAAACAGTCACACTGGACTTTAGCAACAATGAATTTTCAGATGTACCGTAGTCTATCAGCAAGAGCTGTTCATATTAGCAATCAGTTCAACATATCCTTTTAATATTCATCCCTTAAGTGAGTTAGTCGTTAACAGTTGTTATCCCAATGAAACGTACGAAAATACAAATATTGTGATATTATTATTGTTATTGTTCCCTTGGGTTCCTAGTGGAACATAGGGCTTCAACTGCACGTCTCCACTTGCTTCTGTCTTCTGCTGTACTTTTCACCTGCATCCATGTTAGTCCATATTCTTTCAACTCCTCTTCACACGATCTCCTCCATGTCACCCTTGCACTGACGTCCCACACGCCGCTTCCCTTTCGGGTTCCACTCGAGCAATGGCCTGACGCGCGATGTCACCCAGCGGTCTCCTCAGAGAGTGTCCGATCCATCTCCACTTTCTCCTGCATATTTGTTGGGCGGTCGGTTCTTGCTTTGTTTGTTCCCATATTTTCTCGTTGGTGATTCTTTCTGGCCATCTGATCTTCAGTGTTTCTGATCCGTATAGAAGAAGTGACTGACTTGACGTTTGTATTGAAAATCCGACCGAATTTTGTTGTTGATGCTGAGTGACGAAGATTTCCAGATTGGTTTCAGGTTGATGAATGTGTTTCTCGCCTTTCCGATTCTCGCTCGATTTGACATCCTCGTCCGTTCCGACTGCCTTTAGTTTAGACAATGCTCGCTAGATAGGTGAATGAAGTGAAATCTTTCAAATCCCTCCCGTTGATGGTGATTGGCTCCGGATGTTGCTGTTGTTGTTTTTGTTGGTTATTTTCATAACCTCCGTCTTGTCTATGTTCACTTGGAGTCCTGTCTTTGCCGGCTGCTTCTTCGACCAGTTTGTCGGTTTTCGCTTGTAAGTCTTCGATTTTGTGTGACATCAAACATAAATCATCCACGCGTGAAATCCAGGTCTTCTAGGTTCTTCACTTCCGTCGGTCCAGGATATCCCTGTCTTCTCGTTTCCCACAGTCTGACGCATAATCCAGTCCACCACAATTAGGAATATCATTGGTGATAGTAAGCACCCTTGTCTGACTCCTGTGTTTACTCCAAACGCCTAGCTGAGTTTTCCGTTGTGGATGACTTGACATGTGCCGTTGTTGTACAGCTGTTGAATAAGGAATATTGTGATATAGAATCGTCTAAGTTGTACAGTTTTTTTTCTAAAACTTATCCATTTCATTGTCATCATGTTTTCGTCTTCACTACAGCTGCAACTTACCATCCCATCCACAAATTAGGTAGTCAGCTGTATTTACACTGCATGACTGATCCTCTTGCTTTCATCTGCGGATTTTTTTATATTTTTAGTTGGGAGTTGTTCTCCTAGAATCTCAACAGACGGCGGAAGGATTATTGTATTTGAATACTGCTCTAACTTACAATCCACACCATCAGGTATTTTCTATACATCGTATCCTTTATTTATTACATCATCTTTCATTTGTTATAGAAAATATTTTGTTTTTACTTTCCAGAATGATAGAAGTATAAATACAGAACAGACATACATAATTTAGTCCAGTGCCGTTACTTACTTAGGATATTTTAATACTAACTACACCATACTATTTTGTTAAAAGCATACATCTAGTGCGTCGGTGGCATAGCAATTAGGACGCTCACCGACTATGCACATGGTCCGGGGTTCGATCCCCGGCCGACTCACTCATTTACGTCGCTAAGCCAATATTTAAAAAAAGAGTTTTGTAGAACTTTCAACTGATTTTCTTCATGTTAAATTCCAGTGGTAATACCATATTCTTACTATCCAAAATCTTTGGAAATATATATAAGAGTGAGTTGAAAACTGTGATAACACGAAAAATTTGGAATTTTAGTTTATTTCTCCATACTTTAGATAGACGAAAAATCAGTTAATTTTATGATTTGATTTAACAAGTATAACACCAGTTGACGATTGCGTTTTGTGATGAATAAATGAAACTCAGAATTTGGAATGAGTAGTAACTGACTGGTTTCAACATAGATCTTTGCATAGATGTCCAGCAGTTTCACTTGTCACCTTCTCTCCATTTATCACACAAAGCAAGAGAAGACAGTAAACAGAGATAATTAACAGAAGTGCCTGTGAGAGAGAGAGAGAGAAGGAATAGTAATATGGAAGAACGACAAAGTTTTATTGGATATGACAGATGACAAAGAGTAAGTGCATCTGCGCTGTCATTGACAACGACGATTTTTAGCCATATCACCGATTGTCTGCTGCCGTCATTGGTTATTACCATCCCAAGGAATCCAATCAGATAGCGGTCTACACCACCCTACATGACTGGCTTAAACTAACTGTTGTGAATTTCATTGACTGATATCATGCTTCAGTTTGGCCACCATTAGCTCGTTTCCAACCTGATCCTATGATAGCTAACATTGCCCGTTGAGGAAAGCTATGGCTAGACTGGGCTTGCGTAACACAGGCCCTGACCATCTCAGTCAATATAACTTCAAAACCTAGTAGATTGATTTTCCCTCCCTAACTAGCACCCGACGCCTAACCTCAATATTACTCAACGTATTGTGCCACCTAACATGGGAGATAGGACGTAGTGAAGTATTAACCCACTAGTTAAAGACTGATTATGCCATACCTAAAAACAAGTATATTTTGGATAGATGAAAAATCTTCAGTGGTTGCGTAAACAATAATTTGTATGTGAATCAGGATTAGTCTCAGTTAATTTTATGAAACTTTGCAACGATATGAAATTCATAAGTTTTATTATGGCTTGATTTCACATAGTATTTTGGTACAAGTATGAAATTTCCAGCACGCGATATCGGTAGCCCGAATTTAGTTGGCTGACCATTGATATCAGGTGTGTATCGGCAGGGGATTGAACCTCGGATCATATGTATAGTCGGCGAGCGTCCTATCTGATGTTCCAGCAACGCACATTTAAAGTAAGTAGAGTCAATTCAGTCAAAAATGTCTCCTTGTCTTGTGGCAACATTATTTAAATCAGTATAAAGAAATAATACGCTGTAAACATTATTCCATTAAACGATGCGTTCGATTGCCACATCACGTATCTTGTCCCATCTAGATGTGCAAAGTGTTGAATGCAGTGGTTACTTACTTTCACACCACACTTTTTCTCTTACCGCCATTCAATACTAGCCTTCTCTGTTCGCTGTCGCATCAACACTTAGTGAATCCACGAATGTCAAAGACCAAAATCAAGCAATAGATATGTAAGTTCAGCAATTTTTCTATTCTTAAATTACTTTGACACAAAAGTAGAGACTTCAACAATTTTCCAAGTTCCAGTTAAATTCCCTTTCAATTGAAAACAAAACAAAACTTTTCTCATAAAAATATTATACCTTTTATGTGGGGTTGTGACCTTTTGTGATGGTTGCAGATAGAAATGAATATTCATCTAGCTGGTTTTTCGATATATGTTCTGTAACTTCATTCTCATGACTATAGGCTTCAGATTGATTATCGCCATTGTTCATCTCACTAAGTATGTACAGCTTGAGGCATCTTAAGAAAATCATGTGGGAATATGCGTTGATCCAGGATGGCATTTTTGGAAGCATAATCAGATAAATGAGGCAACCAGGAAACAGGCATAAAATGGACTCACACAAAAAACTTGGAGGATCTGGACTTCGCCGATGATATATGTCTGATTTCCCACAAACTGGAAGATATGCAAGTGAAAAGCAACAAGTTGACAGAAGAAGCATCAAAGATAAGACTTCAGGTGAACATAGAGAAAACAGAGGTGATGAAGATTCCTGGGCAACACCACCAACAACAGACAACAATCAGTATAAATAGAAGGAACCTGAAAGAAACAACCTGCTTCACCTACCTGGGAAGCATCATTTCAACTACAGGCGGAACTGACGAGGATATCAAAGCCAGAATCGGAAAAGCAAGACAAGCTTTCATTACTCTTAAGTCTGTGTGGAGGTCAACATCACTCAGCATCAAAAACAACATCCGGATTTTCAACTCCAATGTGAAGTCAGTGCTATTTTACGGATCAGAGACTTGCACTGCGCGTCATAAAGAGCATCTCAAACAAACTTCAGACCTTCATTAACAGTTGTCTTTGCTCAATACCACTCAAGAGCAGATAGCCGGCCAGTAAAGATCAGCAACAGGGATCTCTGGCAATGAGCGAACCAACCAGGAACCGATTGCGAAACAAATAGGCAGGACGAAATGGAGATGGATTGGCTATGCTCTGGGGAAACCATCAAGTGACATCACTAGACAAGCCATCGCTCGAGTGGAACCCGAAAGGGAAGCGAGTTGGTCGTCAGTGCAAAGGTGTCTTGGAGGAGGTCATGTGAAGAGGAGATGAAAGCGTGTGGGCAGACTTGGAGCGGGTGAAAACGTTGGCAGAGAACCGAACGCAATGGAGACGTGTGACTGGAGCCCTATGTTCCTCTAGGAATTAAAGGAAATAATATAATAATAATAATCAGATAAATGGGGTGTAGGTAGAACGAAACACATTATTGTGACCAGTTTGTAGTCACATCACATCATTTTCTTGAATGCGATTTGTCGCCCTTATCTGATATATTTACATGATAACTCCAACTTTCCTTTTACCTAGTCAACGTTTAGAAGTAGAGAGTTATGTAAAATATATCTCAATGGGAATGGTAAGATCCCTAAAACTAACTGATGGATTTTTCGGTCGTGAGCAGCTGTTTGCATAATTTATATAGTGTACACCTAGTAGTTCCACCATAAAAAATCACGTTTCAAAGACACTGGTGTGATTGACTGGAGTAAAACAACGGTGCTAAAGGCACTTTAACATTAAGTGAATACGATTCCTCTCCCTTCTTCTTCTTCTTCTTCTACAGAAGGAAAATAAACTAGTCTATGACTGCTTTATTGATCAAAAATAAATCATGTCTATACATTCCTTCATAAGTAAAAATACTCTACGTCAGTGATAAAACAACTTATTCTGACCGATGGCTTGAAGCATTAAGGTCTACAATAAAGCTATCGTCTCATTATTATATGTTATTAATCCCTTGGATTCCAAGTGGAATATAGTGCTTCAACAGCACATCTCCTCCTCAGCTGACCCCACAATTGTCTGTAAGCTTCCATCTCCCCCCGCCTCCTTCTTGTCACCCTTGGATTCATGCCCAACTCGTCGTTTCATATTTGGGTTCCAATCGACCGTTGGCCTGGCGCGCAATATCATTCAACAGTCTCCTCAGCATGTGTCTACTCCATTTTCTTCACCGTATTTGTTGGGTGATAGGTTCTTGGTTAGTTAGTTCTCATCGTTTCTCGTTGCTAATTCTTTTTGTCTATTTGATTTTCAGTATGGTGCCAGCAAATGCAGCTGTTGATAACTCTGCAGTCTGCTGGTAATGCCATTCGGTTGTCTCCTTAGATTGACTTATATTTAATTGGAAAGTACAAAATAGGCTACAGTAGCAATCAATGGTATAAAGCGCTTACTTGAGTGTGAGTCTCAGCATATCAGACAACGAAGATTGAAATAAAATCTGTAATTAGGTGTGCAAATGTAAACTAAATATGTGACCGAATATTAGAGCTCAGGAAAATACTGATGTCAGATTTAATATCTCACCGTTAATCTCTAACAAGAGCTTGAGCTTTCAATCTCTTAATCCTCACAGTGTCCGGGCCGGGTGAGTCTTACCATGTTGAGTCGAATTAAACCGCAGGCTCCACTCTTGGTGGTGCCCTTCCGTCAATTCCTTCTAGTTTCAACTTTGCAACCATACTTCCCCCGGAGTCCAAAGACTTAAAGGTTTCCCGGTGACTGCCCGCAGTGTCAGTTGTAGAATCATCGCGGATCGTCAGTTAGCATCGTTTATGGTCAGAACTACGACGGTATCTGTTCGTCTTCGAAACTGACTTTCGCCCCTGATCAATGAAAACATTCTTGGCAAATACTTTCGTTGTAGTTTGTCTGGCGTTGATCCCAGTATTTCACCTCTAACAAAGCCATACAAATGCCCCCGTCTGTCCCTCCTAACCATTACTTCGGATCCGAAAACCAACCATATAGAACTGAAGTCTTCTTTCATTATTCCATGCAAGAATTTCTAGGCACAAAGGCCTGCCTTGAGCACTCAAATTTGTGCAAAGTAAAGACGCCGTCCGCTCCCGACACCTGGAAGTATGCCAACAGATAGCGGGCAAGACAAGCTCACCCATCTCCGTCAGCACTCGTTTACATAGATACGGCTGATAGGCTGCACGCCCACTACACCGAGCCGAACACAAGTTCTGATCTTAACCAAAACCGCGAACAAGCAATGGCATGCGACCGCACAACCCAGTTTCAACTACGAGCTTTTTAACTGCAGCAACTTAATATACGCTTTTGGAGCTGGAGTTACCGCGGCTGTTGACACCAGACTTGCCCTCCGATTAGTCCTCGTTAAAGGATTTCAATTGTACTCATTCGAATTACGGAGCCTCAATTGAGTCCCGTATTCGTAATTTTCGTCACTACCTGCCCGGGCCGGGAGTGAGTAATTTTCGCGCCTGCTGCCGTCCTTGGATGTAGTGGCCATTTCTCAGGCTCCCCCTCCGGAATCGAACCCTGATTCCCCGTCACCCGTTATTATCACACCTGAAGGTAAGTGCATTCCTCAGTGGGTATTTCGTCTAACAAAATTGTGTTGAAAGAAAACCACTTAGTAAGCGAAGCAATCGACTCACTAAAAGACGTTAATCGTTGACACCAGTTTCAGTTTCGACTAGGTTTTTAACATTTTCACTTTGGTTTTCAAAAGTTAATTTGTAGGGATTTCATTTGTTTAAAGTTTGATCATGGATTTTCATTTAGAAAAAAAGAACATATACACATGCTCATATTTTTTTCACAATCTGTTTCAAAGACGTTGTACCTTACTTATCTTCATTTCACAAAATTATCTCACCTGCCTACTCTCAGTCAACTAAAGGTCTTTAGACAGGATGTCTCTTCCTGAGAATTCCAAGGTAAATAGATAAACACCTACTAAATAAGAACATTCCACTGTGTAATTAAGATTTTTATTGTACCTCATTTTCTTACTGTGTATCTGATTATTTCACAACGAAGATATAAAACTATAAATTCTCTCCATGATAGCAATTGTAGGACAAATTTCATAAAGCTTTTTTCTGTCCACTTTAGTTATGAAAATCTAATAAAACAAAATTTTGAACCAATCAAAGTACATTTCGCGTTGGGTATGTTGGAAACTGATAAGAAGAATTATACAAAAGCAGCTAAGCACTACCAAGAAGTGATTCTCGTAAGTAATATATATATATATATATATCCATTGTATCGATGTACTACTGCTAGCCAGTATTATTTTATTTCTGCATGTCTGTTGTAAATGTTCAGCTTACTTAGATGTCTGCCATCAAAAGTGTATTACTCTTGTGCATATAGCGAACTTCATAAATATAAGTCAACTGCCTAAGCTTATAATTGAAACACTTTAGAAAAACTGTAGTAGACTAAGCCAATACTAAATAAAAAATTTAAAATAAGCAATAATTTGAATTAGTATTTGGCAAATTCATACAGTTTGGAAGGACTCGTCAGCCAAATAACCTACAAACATTATTTATATTAGTTTATACGAGTAAAATACAGATATGTGGAAACGATGACAGTATGTATGTAAGTATCAATTTTGCACAAGTTTATGAACTGTAAGAAGTGAGTGATAATTTATTAGCGTAATTCAGAAATTGTGGATAATATTCATAAAATCGAGTTGCCATTTTAAAAAAATATCGAAGTAAAACTTTTTCTAGGGGATATTTTTAAAAAAAATTCCCCGTTGAAAGAGGAAATAGCGAAAGTGGGACTATATTGTCGTTACTTCGATGACACTTTTGCATTCTACGATAATTGCCTTCAATTTAAGGAAGATACCTTCACGGAGATTCTATCCCAGCACTTCACTAAAGGGCAGTTTCCACTATATACATCTGTCACTGTCCTTCTGTAGTTGTCTAGTATTTACTTATGAACTGAAAGACGTTTCTGTTTTCTAAACAATCACGAACAGTATGTAGCACAATACCCGATTGGTAATATTAGGATAAATAACCACTGTAGGAAGAATGGAAAGAGGGAAGGTGAGGTATAAAATATGCTGCCAAGGGGATTCAGATTGACTTCTGTCTGCTTCTTTACACAATCGGATAGTATAAGCTTCCACGAGCCACAGTACCTTTTTGTTGCTTTGCTAATTGATGACAACAAAGCTTTTCGACATCACAGTAGCATGGTCACATCCAATAAATGATATGATTGAGCACTATGGGGAGCGGTCGATAGTATCAGAAAGCCATTTTAGCAGTGGTGTATGTGACGTAAACGCTAGAGCCGAAGCTTCGCCTACTTCGTCTTCTCTACTTATGCACTGATGAATTGCAGTGAGAGTACAATTAACAATAAGTTCTACTGTCAGCCGATTGAGCTTCTGAATCATGAGCGTCGAACAGATATCGTATGCTAACTGGAGACTTAAATGTACAGGTCAGACAACTAGACTCAAAGAAGAGTTGTGTAGATGGTCAATGAGGACTACCCGGTCACAAGTCAGATCATAGAGAGTGTCTTCTGCAGCTCTTTGTGGATCACTTTGTATTTCTGGCTACCAGCTGCAACTTGAGTCACAGCCACTGTCTTCAGGCTACTTGGCATCCTCCCCCTAGCAGTCAATCCTGGACTCAAATAGGTTACATTGCTATCAGCTACCTATGGTGTGGGTGCATGCAATATTTCTGAAGCACATATTTAGCACTTTAGCGTGTTCCAGGTTCACATTGTAACATGGAAGATGTACTGCATTAGTTTGAAACACATCCTTGTGAGCACTTTCAGTAAAATGTGAATGTTTGGCATGCAATTTCATGCAACAGCTGTCCAGTACTCTATGGTTTTCAATGATTCTCTAACTGATTTCAATCCGTGATCAACTCGTAAAAACAAAAGAGGCCATGCCGGGCCATTGTATTCAATCCAAGAAATCACTAACTATTGGTTTACGCCATGTTGATTGCTGTATGTTGAGTCAGTCGCTGAGTACACTTTGCATCATTGTTGGAAGTTGTTCACAAAGCTTATTGTCGATTTGTTTACCTATCTGTGTTACTAAGGTTAAATTTATAGTAATTGTGTGCTTTTCTACTAAAAACCAGTTGTTCATCTGCAAATATCTGATTGCCAATTTGTTTAATAAAAGGTACAGTCACGATAGCTTTAATTATGGAACGCTAGACATATTTCACACTGGCAACAACCGTCTCATCAAACTAAATTCAGTATTCTGCGATAATAAATTTGAACGGAAATCATCCTAGATGCACAAATGGTACTTATTTTTCCATATATAATTCAAATTTGTAGTAGTGTTATAAGTGAAAAACATCGTTTGAATATCCTCTCTCATAAATTCATTTCGTTATCGTTTGTTTTCATATATGTCTGACTTTACTACTGTTTCCTTTTTATCCTGTATTTTTTGAAGCTGGAGCCAAACCATAAAGGTGCCTTGTTCAATTTAGCTCTACTCTATCGAAATCATCTTGGGAGGCCTAATGATGCCTGTGATCTGGCTCTTCGTCTTATTCAGGTGATTCCCATCAGTAGATTTTGTTTTGTTTGAGGCATCTGATTAAATTTTGAATTTCGGATTAGCATGAACGATTTACTACCTAAGTAGATATTTGTTCAGGGGACCTAATGATTACACATAATACGTATGGTCGTAATCTGAATTTCTGTTTTTATTGTACTATATACGGTGACCAAATAATTCCTGAAACTCTCATATTTACTAAGAATGATGTGAACAAATAAATACACTTGCTAAGACTAGTTGTCAGCATCAAGCAGACAAAGTAACACTGATTTGTACCTTAACATGGTGTCAGAGTTTTTCTCTTATATTAATACAAATTCTAATTAGTTTGTGTCTAAATGTCTTGATAGAAGTACCTTGAATTCTAAATATCAGATTTTCTTTTCACTTCGTAGATTCATCCTTCGCATATAAAGTCCTACCTACTACTCGGCGATATAGAGTTGACAGAAAAAGCTAATGTAAAACAGGCAAAACAGGTAAGCACCGTGTGATTGAATTCCATAACAAATATCATTTGGCCCGACATTAATATGTTTTTTTTTATCTTATGTTCAGTATTTTGAACAGGCTCTCAAATTAGACCCAAGCAATATCCAGGCAAAGCATAACCTATGTGTTGCCTTCGCAGATGAGAATGAGTTGGCACAAGCAGAGTCGTGTCTTCTAGAGGCAATAGCCATGACACCAAAACCTCAAGACTATTTGCTACGTCATCTTGAAATTATACGTGACCGTTTGCATTCACGTCGGAAACAATCCCTTGTTGTTCCAAATAATTGATAGGATAAAAAATAATAATAATAAAGTATCAAATCAATTGTATGTATGTATGTATTTATCTAAAAAAGAGATTAATAATTATGTTGCTATTCAAACTTCAATTTTTTTTGTCTTCGCGGCTGATTCTTTCATAAGCTGCATATCACACTACGGTTCATTTCCACCACCCTGTCATTATTACTGGCTGATAAAAAGGTGGCTTTTGCTGTTAATTGACAGAGTAGAGATCCGGTATTGTTTTCTGTTTACAATACTAGTGATTCGAAGAAACGTTAGGTAGAAATACAATTACGTATTTTTTCGGTGATCAGATCAAACTTTGCGCGCGGATTTGAATGACCAGTTTTCTGCGATATATGGGGAAATCATTTACCTAGTTGGAAATATATTACATAAGTCTACTCAACTATGTATATGCTCGTGTATTATGGACAAGGAGGTATGATCATGACGATAGTTATTATCATCGTCATTGAAGGTAGTAGATATGACGAAGTTTGATTGAGTGGCCTTAAAAATGAAGCACCAACCACGTAACAAAAACCAAATGATTGTTTTCACAAGTTCTGCTCTGACGAAAAGAACTCGACTCACGACGTCGCTCCGCCAACCTACGTTTGGACAGCCATATTTCATTAGCTCTAATACAATAGTTATGACTCAATGTTAACCGTATTCAAATGCTGCTGTTGTTAAGAAACATTTCATTTTTTTTCCAAAACGAGAAGATTTTGATGTAATTGAAATACTTGCATTCTAGAAGTTACAATTAATGAATTACAGAATTTTCATAAACAAATTCCCTTTAATAAATTTGCAGAATAGCACAGATTTATTTCATTTCGAGGGTTCTATTCAGTTGCGTACAATCTGTAACCCTGTAAAACAAGTTACAATACCATTTTTACATACTTTCGTTTATAAACAGGAATTCGCCCTTCATAAGGAATATTGTAAGAGCTTCATAATGAAATAAAATAAAAGGATGGTAAGTTACCTTAAAGTATTCCTAATTTACTACCCGATTTTAAGCCCGTAAACAAAGTTTCTCGTAAAAAGCAAATAAATTCGCCGTTAAATGTGGTAATATTCAAAAGTTTGATAAACCAATAGTAGTTAATTTACCAGACATGACTTGTACCGTGAGTAAAACCAGCAGCTATGGCCCCTGTTGGCAGAATTTCGGCACCGTTCTTCAGTAATGTATTCACGATAGGTGTATACGGTGGTCCTAGCAAACCGAGCAGTTATAAAGAGTTATGCAATTACCCAGTACCTGAGCTACAGGATATATTAAGTTCAGGTATACACATTACCAGACTGAATAGGCATTCAACGTTCGTTTGACAGCCGTCATCTGTGTTGCACCGGCTAGAACAGACGTGAAATTTATAGTAGGTTATAATGCCGGCGCAGGTACAATTCGATGAGAAGACTGCACTTTGTCAACACACTGAAAACGACTATTTTCCTCACTTTTTACACGTTTTTTTCGTTCAGACACGCCATCAAAATGTTCATTTCTGTCGAAAAAACCATTGAAAACAACGTAAGATAGCCCAAGAACAACAACGCAATAATACCTGAAATCTGCAGCAATCAGCTGATTTGTGCCTCTATCCTCTGCCAGCGTCCAATATTGAAGATTTTTAAAATTAATACAAATTTACTTGCTTCGCAACACTCGTTTCTTGATGGTGGATAGCCGTTCCAGGTTTCAGGCAAATTAGGCCAAACTACTTCTTCGGATATTTGTTGATTCAAGCGCAATATGTATCTTGAGATGTGATTTCACGCATGCGTTTCTGAGGCCTAATAAAAGAAACGACAGTAAGTCCCCGTGGCTATCTATACACTGAGAAAAATGCTATTCCGGTGCATCAGGAATATTTCTCATCTCTATCAAGTTTCTGTTTGGGAAAGCTTGTAAGCTAATCGAATGCAATCATCTGTAAAAACCGATTGTCCCGTAAAGAATTGAAACTCCCTGTGATACGAGAGAAGGGAAAACGCCGTCTATTCTTTTATAAGATTAGATATAGCTGCATTATTTGCATACAGTAGCACTATGTTCTTCTGATATGTGTGCAAACACAGCACGTGAATTTCATGTATGGAATGCCCGAAACTGAATCTGTAGGCAAAAATGATTGATGAGAAACCAGGATAGCAAGAAGTAGAAGTAAATTCCCTATTATTTCGGAGAATGATATCCTCTCAATCCTCTCTCAGGTACGACTACATGTCAAAGAATTCGACTCCAATTTTAAGCAGACGGAGACTATCACTATTTATTTGGGAAAGTAACTAGAGTTAATAGTGTTCAGATAAAAATCTTCCGGTACCTGCGTGCAGTTCATATTCTCAATACCGCCAAGGACATTTCCAAAAATGGTGTGAGCTTTTAGCCGAACTGGTCCTAATTTTGCTGGTTGGTTGTCTCTAGCCTTATAGACTAATAAAAGAAGAGCGTTGTAGTCGTGATAATGAGACGATTGTACTGAACAGAATGAATTCTGGTTGATTCTCGTGGGAGAGTAAAGTAGAGGGATCATATCTTTTGAACGTTAGTGGTCTCCCTTCAAAGATTAATTTGTCTATCTATGCTAAATGAACCTCACAGTAGTCAACTGAAATTTCAAGAGGTAGGTTATCAATACAATCTTGGGTAGATATCAAAATCTCAACGGTCCACGAACAATTTAGATGTCAGAAATGTCACCAAAATCTGTAAGTGGTGAACAAAATCTGGTAATATTTGCAGCGGGTGATACAAACAGCTGGGAAACAAAACACAAATATCAGTTACGTATCCAATATTAAAGACAGGAATATCAGAATCCCGCTTAAATATGGGGGTGAAAAGCCTTAGCTTAGTTGGACACCCAATTGAAATAATGTGAAAATATCTCAAGGTAATAGGCACGGTGGAAACAGAAAAAAACCAAACCGACTTGTGCCCATGTAGTTGTCATAAAGCCTTGAATCAGCAAATAGTTCCTGACAGATATTCTTTACCCCTCATTCGGAATTTTATTAGTGGTCTTCATGGCCCCACAGCATTGACTAAAAGAGAATTGGTTCGCGCCTAACAAGATTTCCCGATGGCTAAGGAAGATATATCGTAAGCAAAAATAACTCTCTCTTGGATAGTAAGAGTTTATGAAGATGCCATTTGGCTTTCGGAATACTACACAGCGTGAACTACTATTTCTTACAGGTTATATGGATGATATACTCATCGTTAGCCTGGATATAAACGCTCACGAGAATATTGGGAGGATAGTTAGTCAGAATGTTTTGGAGGTAAAAACATGCAGCTACCATGACATATAATGATGGTGCTGAGACCACACCATTTTAGTAACTCAATTCGAAAGTTTTCTTCTGGTGTTATCTGCCTAGCTGCGCACACGTTACGCAGCCTCCTAAAGATGCATTATGAGGAAAGCCCAAAGAATTCTGGTGGTCAAGAGAAGCAGCTTTATTTGCTTCAAGGCAAACCGCAACATCCCATAAAATTATTAACTGAAAGTAAATGGCACGTTGCAAAGTTGTTCAAAAGACATAGGATTATGAGTGACCTAGTATTCGGATACATGTATTCTAATGCAGCCAAACGGTCTAGAAATATAACGATTACTTTCAATCAAATTACTGAGTGTTTGATACAATGTAGGTATGAGCGAATTCATGGGAAGAAGTATGATGATAAAAGATGTGTTGCTAGGTTATTCAAATACATTCAAACAAATGAGTCTGAATTCCAGTTGTCCTAATGCCATGTGTTGAATGAACTAACGTTTGATGGTAAAAGGCATTTTCCTAAGTCGTTGTGCAGCGTCATTTAGACTGAATGCCATGGGCTGAAATTCGAATAAGCCAAAAGGTCTTATGGTGGCTGTTTTTTCAATATCTTCATGAGTGACTGGTATTTGAAGATAGGCTCTGACCAATTCCACTTTGATAAAAATGGATTTACGGTGTAATGTCAAGGAGAAACTATTTAGGTGGCGATCGGGTAACGGTCCGGAACTGGAGTAGTTCAAATGCCGATAATACTCACATGGTTTCTAGTCATGCTCGGCCTTCGGTACCGTGTGCAAGGGTAAGGACCAAGGGCTATTGGAAGGCCTGATGATACCAAGCTGCATCATGTGTTCAAATTCTGCCTTAGCTGCTGTTAATTTGTCAGGTAGCAGTCTACGACGATGATCTCAGACAGGTTGACCGGTGACAAAAATTTAATGAGTGACTGTATGCGGCACATCTTCGATGTTATACGACGGCTTAAGCATTCTGGGGAAACGGTGAGTAGAGCAGAAAGGCTACAATCCACCGGTCTCGTTGTAAATATTATAGGCGGTCTAACTAGAGGTGATTCCACAAATTCTTAGTTCGGTGCTGTTATCAATCAGTCTTTTTGCCGTCGCCATCAACTAAAAGATTGAAGTTACTTAAAAAAATCTGCTCCAAGTATGGTATGACCCACGTCAGCTACTATGGATATCCATGTGGAACGACTATGTAAGCTTCGATACAACATGCGAGATTGTTCACCGTACGTTTATATGCTCGTGTGGCTGGCTGCAGGGAGAGACAATTCTCCTGGTGTCCGAGTAGGTCGCCTGGATAGGGAAGGAGGAATCACGCTAAATTCAGCTCCTATGTTTGCCAGGGAGAGGGCGCCTGGAGTTTTCGCCTTCATATAGAAAAGGCAGCTGGGTTGATTAGTTGTAACAGCCGTTGCTATAAATCTGCCCGGGACGTTTCCCTAAAAATGATAATCCTCACCAAAATGCACGCATTGACACGTTTTAGACTTTGACTTTAAAGAATTAACTATCAAATCATGGTTGTTTGCTCAAAGCCAACTCTGTAGTGGGCGTCATCGATACTGCAGTCATTGTTTCATCGTCCGCTGTTTGTTGGAGGACAGAGAAAAACTATCAGAAGTATTACTGTGATTAATTGTTATGACATTTATTCTTAGACTTTGT